GGACTCCATATAATCATTGGGTCGTAGCTAAGGTAGACCTAGGCCCGGTTTGGGCTTGGTTTAGTATTTTGGCCATAACTTATTCGTTTTAAGTCGGATTTGGGCTTATAACATATCGTTGGAAAGCTCTTTTCAAGCCTTATGCAAGTAAGATATAATTAGAGTAAGATTATGGACCAAAATAACTTGGATTGGATGTTTTTATGATTTGGACGCGAAATAAATGATTTTAAGGACACGAAATGAATAATTTTGGATTAAAACATTTTAGGAAATGTTAGGAATATGGTCAAGGCTTAAGGAAATTTCACGTGACTCTTCAACTCTTTACCGAACTCATCAATCAAAGACGTGAAAGGTACTCATCACTGAGTTTGGTTTTTGGAGAGACACAATCAAGTGTCTACAGTAGCACATTTAACATAAAAGTTCAACATTATGGTAGAAACGTGTTAGGTTCATGAGTAAGTACCTTTTTAAATGTTTGTGCAACCATAGAGAGAGAGAGATAAAGATAAAGGGGGAGATAGAGAAGGAGAGAAAGGAACTGGGAAATAGAAGGGTTGGAAGAGAGAAAGAGGGGCCTAGAAAAAGAGAGGGCAACTGAAAGACAGAGGGCGCAATTCAAAAGAGAGAGGGGGTAGTCCTGGAAAAGAGAGAGAGAGGCCGAGAGAAAAAGCGCGAGAAAAATAGGGGGACGAGAGGAGTTGGGAGAAAAGAGATATAGGGATAAAGTGCAACCTATAATTTTCAAAGCCTTTTAGAGGATGGAACAACAATAAGAAGGATTGGGAATTTTCAAAGCTTTTTATAATTTTCAATGCCTTTTAAAAGATGGAACAAGGACAAGTAATCTAATTAGTAGCACATTTTACATAAAAGTTCAACATTATGGTATATTCATGTTAGATTCATGAGTAAGTACTTTTTTTTTTAATTTTTTTTTTATGTTTGTACAACCATAGGGAAAGAAAGAGAGATATAAAGATAAAAGGGAGAGGGAGAAAGAGAGAAAGGAACCGGGAAAGAGAAGGGTTGGAAGAGAGAGAGAGAGAGGGGCCGAGAAAGAAAGAGTGTAGCCGAAAGACAGAGAGGGCAATTCAAAAGAGAAAGGGGGTATGCCAGGAGAAGAGAGAGAGGTCGGGAGGAAAAGAGTGAGAAAAATTCGGGGGGGAGTTGGGAGAAAAGAGAGAGATAGAAAGAGGGGTTAGGAAGGAAAGAGGATGAGATAGAGGTAGGAAGAAAGAGAAATAGGTCTAGGAGAATTATAGGGGGTTGGAAAAGAAATAAATGATCGATAGAGAGAGAGAGGGGCTGAGAGAAAAGGAGAAAGAGTGTATGATATAGTGATAAAAATGAGAAGGTGAGAGAGAGAGAGAGAGAGAGAGAGAGAGAGAGAGAGAGAGAAGGACCAGGTGAGAAAGAGATATGAGGAGGCCCGGTAGAGCCCTTCTCCTCACCAACAGAAAAAAAACATATGTTACGATTACAAATTAGTATTGAACCTATCTAACTATAATCAAGATACTTAAATCAACTTTATTATTAATTGTGATAAAGAAATTATGATAAATTGGGGTAGCAATTGCAAAAAAAAAAAAAAAAAAAAAAAAAAAAAAATAACTACACCGATTAATAGCATACATACACTTACGCTACATAATATCCAAAAAACTACTTTGCATGCATATCATTTCGTTTGAAAAAATTAAACCTTTACAATAAAAGCATTACTAACATTGAATTTATTATCACAATAGAAGTATCTTCACAAACAAACCAAATAGTTCATTCCAATTGTACATAAATTAAGATCTTTTTTTTTTTTTTTTTTTTTTTCAAAATTTCAATATTCGATTTAAAGCTTCAAATTTCACATTGTACTTCTATTTATTTTTTTTCTTAAAAAAATGAAAATAACAATAACTACACTGCTTAATAACTACACTTACGCTCCATAATATCCACAACCGATATTTTACCGTATTGAGCTATCGCGCGCGGTGGCTCAACTAGTTAAGAAAGATAGAGGAGGGGAACAGTAGTGGAACAAGTATAAATGAAATAGGTGTTCCATAAATTTTAACACCCTAATCTACTCAGCAACACTCATCTCTCAAATCTAAATCCTAATCTACAAAACTCTATACCAGGTTAAGCATTCGGAGAGATTGAAGATGCAACAATTTCATCGTCTTTGCTAAATTTCATGTACTCAATCTATAAATACTTCAGCCTTTGCATGTTGAATCAGAAAAATAATAATCTCAACCACAAAATATCATTTTCCTTGCTCGTAATTGCAAATAACTTCACAAATTATAGCAATGTTCTCTAATTTAGAGGCTTTCCTACTATGAGTTTTTTTTTCCTTTCTTTTTAACCAGAAACCCATAATAGCAATTTTGCACAGACAACTTCAGGTCAAAATTGCTATTAGCCTCATTTAGTCACACGCAACTTCCGATTTGTATAAGATATATGAAAAATTAGTTGACATTTTAAGTTGTTATGATACTTGATATATACTACTACTAGCAATGTATCGTTCGAACATATCAAAACAGAAAATGCTAAAAGAAAAAATCCAACTGTTGGTGCAAAACTATTGATTAAGTTAATATAGTTGAGATTCACAGGAGCAACATGTCATTTAAACACTTTTCCCTAGGTACAAAATGGAAATATACGCTTCGCAAGATCTCTACTTGAGATATTAAGATTTATAGAATTTGAACTTGTTGTAGTTTTGTAACAATGCAGTGTGAACGCTGCATGAATTTCTATGACTATCGGCTGTCGGCCTTCACTCTACTGTTTTTATCAAAATTCTCCCATAAGGTTTCCCCAAGTGTGAGTTACACAAGCGGACCACCTATTTGCGTAATAAAATTGCTGATAATTATCTCATATCGATTTTCTTTAGTTACACGCAACTTCAGATTTGAATCAGATATATGAAAAATTAGTTGTGACATTTTAAGTTGTTAATGATACTTGATACATACTCTACTAATTTGTTAATTCATAATAATTTCATGTAATTTTTTATTTTACTCTCCGTTATTTTAATTGCACTATTTAGAGTTTTCCAATACAATTAACAAGTAATATAATCCATTATTTTATCATTATTCACTATTGGATTTAACACTGCTCTTATTTTAATTAGTTATTTACTCCGTTATTTATCATTATTCATTATTCATCGCATAACAGTTTTTAATTACTTCATCCGTTATTTTAATTGCACTATTGGGTTATATACTACTAGTTTTGTGCCCGGGCGATGCCCAAATGGTAGATAAAATTTTAAGATAACATTTTTACTTTAATGTTAAATAAGGTCAAATAATTCGTTCTGATAATGTAGGATATTTAGACATATGATATCATATGGCTTTTATTTATATAATAATACTTTTTGTAGTTTTCATTGTAAATATATATCTATGTTATTATTGAGTTGAAATTATTTTTAATGAACTTAAATTATTTTTAGAAAGTATTTTTACCAAATTAAAATTAATTTTACTGATTAAAACTTATTTTTACTAATTCTCTAATATTTTTCTAAATAAATTAAATAACAATGCATTTTGTATGCGGCTAGCCACACCATCTAGTCGGACAAGGTAACCCTTATAAAACTGACCGAGTAACCCCTATAATACTAACTGAGTAACTTCTAACACTAACTAAATAACCCCTATCTATATCATTGATTGAGTAGCCACTATAACATTGACCAAGTAACTCCTATAGAACTAACGAATTAACTCTTGTAATAGTTGGTGACACGGTTTGACCAGATACTTATGTGTAAATCTTTGTGATTAAATATATTACAAATGAATCTTATCTTAAAGAACTTTTTAAAACGAATTTAATAATGGAAATAGAATTGAGTTATAGGATATTTATTAAAAGTTATGATTAATTTTGTATATTACCTACGTTAAATGTTATGTGCAACTTTGGAATATTTTATATCTCACAAATAATATCCCAAAGTTGCACATAATATTTAACGGAGGTAGTATATGAAATATTAGAATTCTATCGATAATAAAACTCTATACAACAATTTTATCTTAAAAAATCTATCCAAAAATCGCTTACTTAGCATCATATGTGTCACAATAATACCTTCTACATGGCTCGACACTTGGCGAAAAACTGGAATGTCAAGTGTCGCTATTGTGGCCTGGCTGCAAGACCGGCTTTATTTATTAGTGACTAGTTTTGTGCCCGGGTGATACTCAGATGGTTGATAAGATTTAGGATAAACTTTTGACATGAATATTAAATACGGTCATGTAATCCGATAATTTATATAGTAGTGTACTTTTTGTAGTTTTGTTTGTAAATAGATATCTATGTTATTATTGACTTGAAATTATTTTTATTGAACTTAAATTATTTTTACTGAACTAAAAGTATTTTTAGCAAACAAAAATTATTTTTACTAATTAGAACTTATTTTTACCAATTAGAACTTATTTTTACATATTCTCTATTTTTTCTTAATAAATTAAATATATCTATGTTATTATTAACTCGAAATTATTTTTATTGAACTTAAATTTCTTTTACTGAACTAAAAGTATTTTTACCAATATTCACTATTAATTTTTAAAATAAGTTAATGTATTATGAATGGATCTTATTTTAAAGAACTTTTTAAAACGAATTTTATGATGGAAATAGAATCGAGTTATAAGATATTTATTAAAAGTTATGATTAAATTTGTATATGTGAAATATTAGAAATATATCGATAATAAAACTCTGCACAACAATTATCATAAAAAATCTATCCAAAATTACGTACTTAGTATCATATGTGTTACAATAATACCTTATTTTCGTTTACGTGGTGCAACACTTGGCAAAAAATTGAAGTGTCAAGTGTCACTGTCTCGTGACCTGGCTGCGAAATCCGCTTATGATATGATATGATTTAGAGTTTTGGGCTATTATTACACCGTTCTTGGGCTTACTCCGGATAATATTTCAGACCTCGGAGTAAAAATACGCCGGAAGATTCCCCCAAATTATCTCTCATGGTTCTGTAAAAAGTACTCTCACCACTCCCAACCAAAACCCCGTTTCAATTTTTTTTTCTTCCCAATTTCTAAAACCCTATTTCAATTTTTTCCCCAATTGTATTAAAATTATCTCACCTCCTAGAACAATCTTAATCATTATTCACCAAATTCGAAAATTTACGCTAAACCCTAGCATTATCTTTCTCACTATTACTCTACTTCCAATTAGGGTTTTTGTTTGATTCATTTGTGCGATGGACCGAATTCGATACAACACCGCAAATTACCCCTCTGAATCCACTAATGGTGTCAGATTTGCTTCTTCTTCTTCGCAACCAAATTACAGCTCCAAAGCTGTTCAGGTTTGTTTCTGAAATCTCAGTTCAGTTCGTTTAGTATCTACTGCAATTTTTGCGCTATATTTCCTTGATTTGCGGACACCCCTTATTTATTTATTTATTTATTTATTTTTTGGGGTAAATTTGATTTGCTATTGCGGGTTTGTTAATTGGTGAAGTTGTTTTGGAGCTTGGCATTACGAATAATGCAACTGGGTTAGCTATAAAATGTGGATTAGTTGTCGGTATTATTAAGATTAGTGAACTTAGTTTATCGGTGAGGAAAAACTGGATCATTTTAGGGTTTAATGGTGAATCAGAGTGGCATTACTGATGCAATTTGGAAACTATAGCTTATGTTTCTAGTATCTAGATTAAGTGCCTGCTCACTATTATGTGGAGTGCTGAGGGGAGAGCCATTTCAAGCTCGGTGGCACTCATGCTATCGCGAGAATAATGAATTTAGTTTTTGGAAATTGAAATTAGAGTTTAGGAGAATTTAGTTCATAAGGAGTATGTGGTAGATGCAAGCTTCATTGCCAAAAAGAGGGGTATAGTAGAATTTGTATAGGTGCTTGTGTAGATTTTGATTATGTTTAGAAAATTAGCACTATTTTTCCTTAGAATTTGCTAGTGTTAAGTAAGAAAGTCTATGACTTAAGTCCAAAGAAGAAAAAGGAAGGAAGTTGTAGGAAGAGTGGGCATTTTGGGACGAGACTGCTGCTGGAGATGTGTGTTCATAGGAGTGGAATCGGTGGTTATAGGATGCTAATAATTGTTCTAGGTGGCACTCGAACTTGTTTCCATCTGAAGATTGATAGCTATGGCACCTCATCTGTAAGGAAACTAGCTGCTATAATTCTCTGCTACCTGTATCTCCTTAGAGCTTGCTTGTGAACACAAACAACAAAACTAACACATGGTTAATCTCATTATATGATGTTTGGCAAAGTTTGGATGTATGTAGCCTTTCTCTTGACAGTCCCGAGTATAGTTGCAGGTTATTACTGAAATGCATGTGTTGGTATTGGATTTAGTTCTCGTTGAAGGAATTTATGTTACTTAAGATTTTAATGTGGATTGCACATGTTTGTCCACGCCATGACATTTGATTTTTGGGGGTGCTGCTTTTACTATCTGTCAGCATTGTAATCATGTAAATTTACATTCTAACGCTTCTTGCAAAATTTAGGATGCTCTGCGACACCTGGCATCTATTGATCTGATTGATTTGTGCAATGAGGCAAAAGTTGAACGATGTCGTGCCAGCAGAGACCTGAGGAGTTGTGGTTGTCTTGTGGAGTCTGTCCTTAACTCATGTGGGCATGCATCTTTATGTGCAGAGTGCATTCAACGTTGTGAAAATTGCCCCATCTGTAGAACTTCTTTGCCTAAGAACGGAAACATACTGCGGCCTCGACTTTACTATGAGTGTGTTGAGGCAGGTCTTATATCAAAAGATTGCAATGTCAGATTTCAAGAAAAGGAAGATGGTGAAACACACCTCACTGCTGACGTCCAACGTCTTTATTCTTTGTTTGATGTTGCCATGGAGAACAACTTATGTTGTTTGATAAGCCATTGTATCCTCTCATATTATTTCTAACATCTTTGTCCTTAGTTCTTTTGTGTATTAATTTGTGGGCACATATTCTAGTTGTTCACCAAAATCTGTTGATCCCATTTTTTCTTTTGCTTTAATTTAAATTGACTAAAACTCCTTTTATAAGAAAAGATTAGCCTTTAAATATCCCTTGTCCTATTCAATTATTTAAAGTCAGGGGGGATTGCATTAAATCTTTATGAAGAAATAGCATGTTGAATACAGTTTTACTTTATCTTGGTCATCAATACGAAACAATATTTTTTCCTAATTTGTTGGGCTTGTACTGTACTTTCTTTTCCCTACCTGCAGCCATTTTATGACATGATTTTTTTGTAAGACTGATGTGTTGGAGATCGTATTTCCTTGACAGAAATATTGTAGATGTTACCGATGTTTGCATGGATGAAAGTGCTGTATCAAGTGATCCTGTAATAGCATTTCTGCTGGACGAGGTGGTTGTCAAGGACTGGTGCAAAAGAGCATTCAAAAACATCATAGAACAAGTTCAAGGGATATGTATCCGAGTTGCTTACGCTTTCTTAGTTTCTTACTTTCTTATTCCATTCTTAGCTAGCATATTCTTGATTGTTTTCTTCTGTTGCTTGCATTGTTTGTTTCTTGACTTTCTGACCAGATAATCTTGAAATAACTGAGATGAAAACAAAAATGGATGCACTTCTTAAGGTCTTGGCAAAGCTAGTTGGCTTGTCCAGTGTGCTGGAAGTTTTGAACTTGTCATTTAAGGATACACATTCAGCCAAGCTTGATGATCTTAATCGCCTTCAAGAGAGCATATTGAAGACCAAGCAGGTTTAGTATGTAAAATTATCTGTTTCCTGTCCAGATTGTCAACACTGTTGAAATGTTTATATACGCACACAGACACGTTTGTATGTATAATTATTCCTCCATTTCTCAATACATGTATCATTTTGGCTTTTTACACTATTCATATACTAACTTTGACCACAAGCTATTGTTCATATGTGAAAACTATTATCATTATTGTAATCTTTGTTGGATTAATCTCAATGTATGATTTCAAAATATCAAATTTTTATAATTTTTTTTATCTTATACTTCCTCCGTTTCTTTTTAGTTGACACGTTTCTTTAGTCACATTTGCCAATGCACAACTTCAACCATTAATATCTTTAATTACCGATAAACAAAAATTATAAAAAGTTGATATTTTGAAAATATATATCGTGACGAATCTAACAAAATCCCACATGACTATATTTTTCATTATGTATAAAGCACAAAACACGGTCAAAGGAAAGTGAGTGAATAGTGCTAAAGTCAAAACGTGTCAATTAAAATAAAACGGAGGTAGTATATAACTAAAGTTATTGATAGTTAAAGTTGCGTGTTGATTAGTGTTGCTTTGCATTTATAAAGACCATCTGAGTCTGCTATATGATTCTAATTCTGCTCTGATTTCTGTTGAATTTCAGCATATGGATATGATGTTGTGGTGCATTAGACATCAGTTTTTGGAAAATGTCAGGTCTCGCCATGACAATGTTTTTACATGGCGTTCAGTTGTGCGTGAAAGGAAGTCAGCTGCTGTGGAGCGAGCCTGGCCTGAAGCAGTTGAGCTTTATGGAGAGTCTACAGGACAAGATAATTCGAGTCTCTTTATTGAGGACGCATTGTTGAATCTTGAGGTTGACAAGGGTGATGAGCAGGCAAGTGCAATTGAACTAGAAGTTGCATCTTTACAAAGGGATGGAGGTTCATCTTTCTTCAGATCTAAGATTGAGGGTTTGGGAGGCAGCTACCCATTTGAAAACGTGAGGGCTGCCATTGATACACTCTTTCTTTGTGGAGGTTCTGATATGGTGGTTGCCAAACGTGCTATTGTATCCTTTACTTTTCATTTATATATGTTAAAATTCTGCCTTTATGCAGGTTTGTTTTAATTTAACATGAGAAAAATGCTTCTTAACTCCTGTTCAGTTGTTGTATTATCTGTTTGATCGCCATTGGATGATGGCTGATGAGGAATGGAGGCATGTTGTAGATGATTTTGCTGCCACTTTCAGTATAACTAGGCACTCTTTACTAGAGTCTTTTGCCTTTTATCTCCTGGACGATCACACTGATGAAGCCCTACAGGTACCTACAAGTAGTTTTCACTTGATTAATATTGTATTACTGTTTTAGCAGTGTGTTTGATGAAATGAAATGACCCATCCTCTGGATTATGAACTAAATTGACTTTCAATTGGAATTATGTTAAACATCTTTAGTGTGGTACTGTTGAGTTAATTTTTCGATAAAATCAATGCAACCTGAGTCAGCTAGCATTATTTATGTCTATCAGCTTGAATATTTTTTTATCTTTCATACAAGTTACTTGCACTGAATAACACATTAATTAAGCATTAAAATGTGGCGTAGGCCAGTGATCGAATTTTGTGTACTACTGTTATGGGCATTCTTGGATTGAAGGTAATGCATTAAGGGGGTGTTGAAGGCTAAATAAGATGAGGAAGTTAAGTTTAGGTGGTGGTCATTGGGGTGATGTAGTGATAACTCATGGAGGGAGGGTAGGAAGGGAAATCATCACCCATGATGGGTAACTATTACCCCCAATATGAGGTTAATAATCCCCTCATTCCTCCCTCCTCCTTACACAATCACTATATCATTAGATCTACTACCATGCTCATCCACCTTCTGTTTAGTATTCCTTTTTTTTTACTCTCTCTATACGTTACCATCAACCTAAGCGTGCCCAAACTGTTTATCATTGGCTGGAGAATTTTGTGACACGGCTTTTAGGTCCATGTGGTTATGTGCTAATGAACAGTGAAGCTGGATTTTTTCTTCTGTAATATGTGGTCTCTAGTTTTTTGGTCATTGTGGTTTGTTGCAAAAATTCCTGCAACTCTTTTTTTTTTTCCTCTGTTTATATATTACTGTATATTGTTGTTACTTCTACATTTCTGTTTAGGTAAGTTTAAGGGAAATTGTAACATTGACTCTGCCTACTGGAGGTCATTACTTCTGCTTCAATGAATTTTAGATTTTTATAATCTACAAAGTTACAGATACATTGTTGGAGGCTAACATTTGTAGTTCCAAACAGTTGCTTTCATGTCATCTGGCATGCTTCTATCTTATAATGCTCAAAATGTTACATTGTGTAGGAAGCTTGCCACCTTCTTCCAGAGATAGCAGGTCCAGAATCTCATCCTAAGATTGCAAAAGTTCTGCTAGAAAGGAAAGCTCCTGATTCCGCTCTTATGTTTCTGCGGTGGTGTGGCCGTGATGGTGGAGCTGAGATATCCTTGAGTGAGGCAGTCACAGCCATTAGGGTCAGAGTGGAATGCGGCTTATTAACAGAAGCTTTTATGTACCAGAGGATGCTTTGTATCAAAGTCAAAGAGAAGCAGTTGAATCATAAATTGCCAGTAGATGCTTTGGATGAATCTGAAGGTGAAGTCAGAAGTTGGACAGATTGGGTGCTTGTACTGGTAACTGAGATTTGTTATCTTTGTGTAAGAAGGAATATTATAGACCGTGTCATAGAGTTGCCCTGGAATGATGATGAAGAGAGGCATCTTCATAAATGCCTTTTAGATTGTGCTATAGTTAATCCTCTTGCAACTGCTGGAAGTCTTCTTGTTGTGTTTTATCTCCAGGTGATTACTCCTCCCCCCCCCCCCCCCCTCCCCTCCCCTCTCTCTGCCTCCCCTCAATTGTTTTTTTTATGTACATCTATAGTCTCAGTAAATCCAGTTTCTTGCCCCACCCCATGTGTCATCTCGCTTACAAGACTTCCCATTTTCTAAATTATCAAGTTGATGCAATTCTGTTTGTTTCTGAAGAAGAATTCTATTCAGACTGGTGTAGGCCTGGATCTGCATATTATTCAAATTAAAGCTATAACCATAGTTTCCTGAAAACTAATATAATAATGTGGCTGTTTAAATACTTCAGCGCCACCGGTATATTGATGCATATCATACAAATAAGGAGCTTCAGTTAGTGGAGGAGGATTTATTTTCAAAGAACAGTGTTGATGAAGAGGGCTTGTACAGAATGAGATCATCAGCTGACTGGAGATCAGGATTGGTTGTAAGTACTGCCACTCTGTACTGATCTCTTATTTTAATCTTGATAATCTTGTGTTTGTAGAATATTGTTTTGATTTCTTTCTCAGTTTTACCGGACTTGCCTGAGTTCTCTCTGAGCTTTATACTCTTGTTTTTTCAAAAAAAAAATTTTTTAATTTTTTTTATAGTGAGTTTCCAATTTTAATTATTTCTGGGGACGATCTTGGGTTTAAAGTGTTTTGTGTATATTGGCTCAGTTGCATTCGCCGCCATCATGGAGTAAATGACAGGGATGATTCTTCTCACGTGCATAGTGTGTTACCGTTGGTTATGGAAATTACTTTTAATTTTGTTGGTAGTTTTTTTTTTCTGGCCATTTTTCTTTCAGTCAAGCATACTGCTTTTGTGCTGTTCTCAATATTAATTACTTTCTCTGTTCCCGTAATATTGCAACAATTACCGTTTTCAGATGTTTTACCAAAATAGCAACATTACCATTTATGCACATGTTTTTTCTCTATCTCTATCCTCATCCCATAAGCCACCCCCCGCTTCTCTCTCTCTCTCTCTCATCTTAAATTCTGTGCCTTCCCCCCTTATTGCACTATTAGGGGAACAGAGGAAGTATTTAATTTTAGGCAAGCTCAAGAGTAAAAATTTTCTAGCCAAGTGTTTGTTGTAACTTGATGCTAAATGCTGTCTTTAAGAGCTTAGATAAATTTGTTCAGAGTTCTTATGCATCTTTTTCCCCATAATCATTTTCTTTGCACTTCCACTGTTTCATATTAGTTGATATGTGTTTTTTTTTTATTTTTTTTTATTTTTTTTTATATATATATTTTTTTAGCAGTGTTCGCATAAGTTAATTTGACTTCATATTATGGATAATGATTTATACTTAAAAACATGGTCATGTGGGGTTTTGTTATATTCGTCTCAATGTTATCTTTTTCAAATACAACCTCTTTATAATTTTTTTTCTTATACTGATTGAGGATGCCTAGAAATGTGTCAACTAAAATGAATTGGAGGAAGTATTTATAGTTTTCACATGGTACCTCCATTAAAAGGCCACCTCTGTGAACCGACCTCTAGTAGAGTATATTGTATAGTTTAAGTCTCTCACTAATGCACACTTTTGATCTTGTTTTCCTTGCATGTATACCTGTTTGGCTTTGACTGAATTGGTGTCGTTCTCTTGATCAGAATAAAGCTGTGGAGCTGCTTCCGGAAGTCGAGCAGCAGCTATTGAAGGCTGGAAAATTGCCGGAGGATATGGCTTTATGCGTAGACAGGGCTGATTGTCAAAGAGAAGCAGATGTTGGTAGGGTGCTAGAAGAAGCTGGTTCTATGCCTTCAGCATCCTCTTCCTTGTGCTCTTCCCTTATTCTTCAGATGGAGCATGACCCTTCTTTCAAGTCATCTAGGTTTCCAATTTTGAAACCAGCTGGACATGTTGGTGTTACTGAACCTGAATTTCAAAATCTTGCATCTCCCTCTACTTCTCATGGAAATTTTTTTATGGATTCTGAAAAATCATCAAAACCTCCATTCAGCATGGTAAAAAATTACAAGCTTGATGATGTATTGACCTCTGGAATTCGTTCCATGAAGGCTTCAGCTGTTAAAGATTGTAATAGAGCTTCATCAAGGCTCTTCAATGGTGAATTTCAAGATGCCCAACTTGATGAAGTTTCTTCCCCAGTAGAGCAAAATGGTCTGTTTGGATCTCTTTCAAAAGTTAGCCCTCCACATTCTCGAAGGGTTATGGCTAAACCAACAAGGACGCCAAGCAGCAACCGTGGCTTACTTGATGACTCACCTGAAGAAAGATTCAAAACTGCCTCTGGTAAGAGGTTCTTACCAAGAGACCTAGATAGACCTGGAAATACGGCTTCTTTAGGTGATGCAATGGATATATCATGGAGGTAAAAGACTTAACCCTTTGATCCTTATGTTTTTATTTTGTTTTTAGCTGAAGTTGATTCCTGACGGGTTAATATCCCCCCCCCCCCCCCCCCTTCTCCTCCTCCTCCTCCTTCCCTTGAGGCAGGGGTGCTATCAATTTGATTCATAGGTGAACTTATGCAGCTTTGATTTTTGCCCATCTATCATCTCTTTATCATAATTCTTACATATGCTTTATCTCGTCACAGTCGAGAAGCATACAGCTCTCCTGCCGCTGATTTCAACACTAGTGCTCAAAGATGGAGGTCAGATGAAACTAGTGATGAAGAAGAGCAGCAAAGTCCGGAAAAGTTGAGGGTTGTTTCCTCTCGTCTGACAACAAAGAAAAGAAGTTCTATAAGGGGTCGACTGTCACGTAGATAAATTTGTGAATGTTGACTGTCGCAGGTCCTTGATTTTTTTGAAGTGGGCCAAGCTGTGAGTGTTTGCAATACTTGTTAGAAGATGAGACAAAGTCGTACACATAGCTTGCAAAGGAAAGAAATATAGCAATACTTTGCTGACGTTGGTCTCTCGACTACAACTTCTGATGTTTCGTGTGCAGGAAGAAAAAAATTGGTAAGAGAAAACCAAGTTGCACGGTTCAACCTGTGTTTTTTCTAATTTGAGGAGGAGAGTGATTTGCAGAATCATGCATCCTAAGTTGAACAACGTGAGGCCTGATACTTTGCCCTTGTTCCTCCTGCATTTGTGCATCTTCTCATAGCTCCTCTACTCTCATCTGATGTAATTTATGTGCTATGAAATTTTTGAAAACAGAGAATGTGAGCTTGGCTTGGGCATCATATGCCAATCAGCTTCAAATTGATGGGATTTGTTTTGGAAGGTGTCCAAGCTCAAGTAACGAAACGGTGAAAGTAATTTTTTGTCCATGCTCTATCTATAGTTCAAATTACCTGCAATTTTTAACAGCATGCTTAGTATGAACTTTGATGAGCCTCTTCGTATCGTTGTTCATCCTCGTCTCGAATTTGGGCTTTAATTGGCAACTACAGCTTGAAATTTTTTTTCAAGATCTGAAATATAGGTTAGCCAGTGTGGGTTCTTTTTAAGAACATTTAATTTAAATCTGGAATTGATACGATTCACTGCTTAATCAAAACTGCAACAAAAGTTTTTGAATTACTCCAAAGATTTGCTCTTTCAATTTTCTAGAATGTATTCTTCATTTATCATACTTAAGTGCGCATGAGAACAATTACAGTATATGATTGATGTGTCTTTTTGGAGACATCTGATAAAATTGGAACGATATAGTAAATGAATGATGTGATATTTGTGATACATTGAGTGACTTATTAACAACGCCTGGAATTTGAGGGGTTATAAATCATCTACATTTTTACTAAACTAATTATCATTAAAAAAAATAATAAAAATAAAAAAGTGTACTTTTATACAGAAATTTGACGTAATGGTAGACAGAAATAAAACGTGGTTGCTTAGTGGAGTGTGGTCACTAAGCCACTAACCGTTTTAACCGCCACTTTTGAAAATCAAAAAGTAACCTTCCGTACAAAAGAATCACCCTTACAAGGGCTTAACATCTAAACTCTACATTGGAGTTACGAACTTTAAATCAAACATCATATGAATTTATGATGAAAAATAAAGGTTTTAAGGATCAGTCAAATATTAGGAAGGGTCCATGGTCTGCAGAAGAAGATGAAGTTCTTATCGACTTCGTCAACAAAAATGGACCTAGAGACTGGAGCTCCATTCAATCCAAGGGCCTTCTTCCACGAACTGGCAAATCTTGTCGTCTTCGTTGGGTCAACAAACTCCGACCCAATCTTAAAGTGTGAGTTATTCCTTATAGTATTGTATGGTTGAAGAGCAATGTAGGGTAATCTCGATAGTATTGCATGATTAAGTACTTCTAGAAGAGAGCAATATAGGATGAATTACTTGAAAAGTAGAGGATTTGAATAATAGGCATCTTATTTGTATGAATTATTAAAAATATGTCTATGATGTAGAGGATTTGATTAAAGTCTTTTATAAACAACCATTGTAACCAAGCAACCACAATCTTAATATTCGCAATTTGTAAAGGCGGTCCATGGATGATGTAGATGAGCAACAAAGTTGTGGCTATGCTTTAATAGGCAGCCATTGTATAAATTTTGAAGATACATATTGTTTGTAGAGAGCCATTTTAAGTTTTTAGTAGTTTGAACATTAACATTTGATTTTTCATTTGCTTTTATACGGTAATCTTTAAATTTTGACATGCTTTTAAATATTTTGGGTGTTATTTTTTTTTGTTTCATCTGTTTTTTTTGGGTAAAGAGGTTGCAAATTTTCAGCCGAGGAGGAGAGAATTGTGGTGGAATTACAAGCAAGGCTTGGGAACAAATGGGCAACGATTGCTTCGCATTTGACAGGAAGAACTGATAATGATGTCAAGAATTTCTGGAGTTCGAGGAAGAAAAGGCTCGCAAGAACATTGAATTCTTCTTTACAGCCCAACAAGTGCCTTTGCCTAGATCAGAACAAACAGAAATCAGCTGCGCCACCTCCTCAACTTCCATCAAAGTTGGAGGTAATACTCTCTATAGATTATTACCAATGATTAATTACTGTGAATAATGTACGAAGTATATGTAGTATCTCTGTTAATTATCAACTTGTGCTTAGAAATTTGTTAGAAGTTTGAAGTAGTGCTTAAGGATTATTAGAAGTTGTCAATAATATGAATTTTCTGAATCGTAAAACTGTATTCACATTGTAAGTTAACTGCTTCATATATATATTGGCTGTCTGTTAGGAATTTTGGTTTTGAAATCTTATCTGCATGCCCTAATTTTCTGTTGATATTGTCATGGTATTACATGTGTTGTATCTATCTTGTACTCTCTCCGTTCTAAATGTAGGATAAAATTAATCCCACGATCCCTTGAAATAATGTTAAACTAGTAAGACGGAAATAATACATTATAGCATCATTTTGTGCCTACTTACTCATTCCTTCCGTATACTATCCATAAACTCGTCTAGTTTAGTTATGTTTACATATGTTTAATCAGTAGCTTAGTTATGTTTACATATGAGATGATCATTTTGTGACATCATTTTGTGGAGTAAGTAATCCATATACTCGTCTAGTTTAGTTATGTTTACAAATGTTTAATCAGTAGCTTGACAGTGATTAAATTTGGTGCTAACACATTACATACACTAACACTTCAGGTTTCTGATAGCTGCACTTCCATGATTCTAGTGGGTGCACATCCATCTTCAAATTACGACCTTCTTGGTTCCTCATCCCGGCCTTTAGATATCGAACCAATAAGCTCATTACTAGCACCAGATACAGTAAGTAGTAGTCCACTGATAATAAGCAGCAACCCTTCAGCAGAGTCCACACTATCAGAGTCATCTTGGTTTCCCCAGCAGCCTAATCCTGCACCAGTCGGCGAGTCATCATGGAGTACATTGTCATACCCTCTTCCTCTTTTACAAGATCATCACATGAACGATTTTGAACCAGTGTTTACTGAACCAATAAGCTTCTGTCAGTCATTCCCATACACAAATACTTGTGATTTTGAGATGCCGATTTTCGGAGGGTCAATAGCTGAGGGAAGCTGCAGCAAGAGTATTGTGCCTGTGCAAAGAGATGCAGTGCAAAATCTGCCCAATCACCCAGATGGTTTCTTTGATGATTTTCCAATTGATGTATTTGACAGTCTTGATCCTTTACCAATTTCTTTGGATTACTTTCATTGATTATAATTGTCTAATTGATATAATATTTACTCTTTTAACACCTATTTCAGGCTTAATTACAGAGTTAGCGTATAAATTTTCAATATACAGTATAATACATGTACAAACTACAATGTAGTGAATGTTGAAAATAAATCTAGAAAATTCTTGAAATATCTTGTACAAATTTAGGATAAATATCTAGCAATATAATAGGAAGGATCCAGATAAACTAGATAAAAGTCTACCACCTAGAATAATCTAGATAGAAAAAGAAACATGTAGAGGCAATTTGGTGAAGTAAGTCGGTGGAATGTCACCGACATTACTTACTATAAATAGGAGCATATACTTGCATGTATACAGTTAAGCCATGCAATAAGTCCATTACATCATCATTCACTCCATTTCCCACAATACAAATTCATCAATTACAATTCCACTCACTACAACAAATTGACCTTTGTGTCACAAGTTTCAAATTTCCATGCCTATATAATTCAACCACAAGAATTTTGAAAACCTCCCGTGATACAAGAGGTCGTGCCTAAGAATTTGCCACGGGAAAATAAATGTTGTGGAAAATTTTAATTTTTATGTCACGAATATTCACGTGGCAAACAAATTAATTTGCCATGATTATTAAAGTGGCTAACAAATTATTTGCTATTGATAATAGTATAGCTAATTAACATTTTTGTTTCACTTAAAATGATCATCAGTTATCAATTTATCACAGAAATAAGCATTACCTTCTTTCCAATTCATGAAATAGAAACAAATTAAGACAAATTTGACTAGTTATCGATCCAACATAATTTCAACAAATGAAATCAAAGAAGCAAACAAGCAATTAAATTGAAATCAAATCCAAACATATAAAAATACACAATAAACACAAATCATGCATAATGAAACACAAAGGTAGCAATTTAATAGAGAATAAACAAAATTCAGTTGCCCTAATTACTAGATCATATAGGATTTTAGGGGAAACAGGTTCATCCAAATGAAACTACTAAGCATGTTACATTAGCTAAATCCAAGAAATCAAAGCATTTAACATGAATAATTAGACCAAAAAGCCAAAATATAACGAAAAGATAAATAACCCAGAAATCCTAACCTCAAATTTCTGATTTTTGGTTCGGAAATTATTCGAATTTGTTGTTGCTTGAAATATTGCAAGAAAACCCCTAAAATTGGCTCGAAATTAGGTTTGGTATTTTTCGATTTTGCTCGAATTAAGGCTGGATATTCGAACTCCACCTTATTAATCGCAAAAATTGAATCCAACACTTGCAGACGAGGGTGGAGGATGATGTGAAATGGAGGAAGTAGTGAGATGAGAAACCGCTTCATGGCTTTCAGATTAGAGCCCGAAAAATCACCGACACGCCACCACCATCAGTCCACCACATTGCTAATGGGATTATTAAAATAACGAATGAGTTTCTAGAGGCAAGAGATAGCGTCATGGGGAACTGGGAAAATTTTGGGAGGAGAGACATAAAAGCATATATGGGGTAGGGTAGAACGAATTTTGAAAGGAGAAAGAAAAGGAATTCGAAAATTAATCAAAGAGAAAATACAAGTTTCTCAACACGTATTTGTCTAAAAAGGGCAAATTTGACATTTTTAATTAATAAATTGGGTTACTGTTGTAAATTTGTCTAAAAAAAATCTGTATTTTCTAGCAAATCAAAAGTTTTCATTGAATAACCACAGTCAAACGATAATGGAGAAGCAAACCTTCAATGGGGAATCGAACATAAGATGTAACCCTTTCCTTTAGGGGTTAACCATACCCTTCTTTTCACCATTTTCAGTTAGGGTTTTCGTTTAATTTGGCAGTGAAGGCGCCAAAAATATGGTGGTGAAAACGGTGTTCATGAGCTACTATGGAGGAGCAGTAAAGCAAGAAGAAAATGGAGTATGAAGAAGTTGGAGGATGAAGAAGATGGAGGAGGAGGAAGAAGAAGATGGAGTACGAAGAAGAAAATGACAAAAAAAAAAGTGCCAAAAAAATATTAAAATAATCATGAAATTCCTCTTATTTACAGAAATGCCATTTTGAGAAACACCTCATGTTTCTCATGTTGAGAAACTGGGGCTCCCTCTTAATCAAAGCACCACCTGTTTAATGAAATATGCCAGCTTTGAGTTTTTTGGGCACCGATTTTCATCTAACCGACACCTTTATTTATGCCTAGTAATTGAAATATAGATGCTTCTCTATAATATAAGTCATTCTTAGGCCTCGTTTGGTTGCATATGGGTATTAAATGTCTATAGGAAGTTACAATACATGGGAAATTTTATTGCCTAGAAAATACTAAAATTGTGTTTCGTTGACATATAGGAAATCATATTTCCCATGAATTAGTTTCCTATATTTTGTTTGGTTAACTTATGTAATACCCATGTATAATTATAAGTTGAACTACTTTTCCAAAATTTTGAGGACAATAATGTAATTTCACCTAAAATACATGTGGGAAATTTGAGTGACCAAGGTAGGGTGTGGGAAATTAATTCCCATGTTTTATAGGAATTCCAAATTCCTTAGGAATTTCCACTTCCTGCATTTTTGCTAACCAAACAACTACTCTTAAACACATTTCCCATGAATTTGTATTTCCCCCTATTATTGAAGTGCAACCAAACAAGACCTTAAATAAGTACCGCAACGAAGTTTCTAGATAAATTAATGATTTTGTAAGGAAAAAAAAAACAGTAGAGTTTAAAGGGAAAATTCCCTTTAAAAAAATCCCACTTTACTACTTTAGTATAGGTACATTATTACTACACTAGTGTAAATTTCGCCACGGGAAAAACTACACGTAGCATAAATATAAAGTTTGCCACGGAAAAAGAGTTACTCGTGGAACAAATACAAAGTTTGCCACGGGAAAAGTGCTACTCGTGGCACAAGTGTGATGTTTGCCACGGGAAAATAAATACCCGTGGCATAAATTATTCTTATTACATAGGTTTTGTATCGTAGTTCATTTTACTCGTGGCTATTTGAAATTATGCCACAAATTTGGAATTCCAGTGACATAATTCGTGGCACAAGTGGTGATTTGTTGTACTGATTACAAACCCAGTACGTACCTACTCTTCCAATTTCCAACCATGAATGATGACAATATGAAAAAATAAAATATAAAACATATTATTGTTAATTTCATGTAATGACCCGGTGCCAAATAAAAAAACATATTATTGTTAATAAAATATGATGATAAGACCAAGTCATGAATCAAACGTATTATTGTTAATTTCATGTAATGAACCGGTGCCAAATACTAAAAATCTTTAAATAATTTCATTTGTATTGAGTATTCTTTTATGTCTCATTTATTAAATATACTACAATTTGAGTTATGGGTTTCAAGGAAGCCCCAGTTTCTTCTCACATGACATTTTTGTAAATAAACCAATAACTTTATTCAATTGTGGAGCCCACAATAATGAAAAAATTGTTGATTTATTCACTAAAATGCCCCCATGAAAAACAGGGAATTTCCCATGGGTTTCAGTTCTACCTAATCAACATCAAATATTTAAAGCTATAATAATTGGCAAAAAAAAAAACAATACACATGAAATAAATTGTCTCACTCTAATTATATAGTAACTTGGGCAGTGACTGTAAACACACTACATACATACTCTTATAAAAGAATTGATTCCCATGCAACAAGATCAGATATGGAGTTGTTGCCTGCCAACTGCTCCATAAAAGTGACATAAACTTACAGCATTAAACAAGTTAAGTCAGATGTAATCCAACCGCTTTTATTATTTCTAAACGTCGAAAATAATTCAGTGAAGCTACCTTAATTAATTAGCTTTTGTGTGTGTAAAAGACTAGGCTTTAGGAAAATGGGAGAAGAGAGTATTGCTATTGCTAATCTTCCTATCATCGACTTATCGTCGCCTGATCTTGACACTACTGCTGCCACACTTCGCCAGGTTCGATTTATGTTCATATTACTTACTCCGAGTATTTAGTGGCTTTGTTCTCTTTGCCTAATTTTTGCTAGACTAACATTATATATTGCTTGTTGAAAGTGGTTTTAATGATTTTGTGGGTATAATAGGCATGTATCAACTTTGGCTTCTTCTACATAGTGAACCATGGAGTTGACAAAGAAATGTTTAAGAGATTATTTGAGGAAAGTAAGAAGTTCTTTACACTTCCTTTGGAAGAAAAGATGAAAGTGGCTCGCAAGGGAATTTGTGGATATACACCTTTATATCATGAGAAGTTGGATACCGCCAGTGCTACCAAAGGTTTAATTTTGCTCATTTATCATCCTATTGGTTGAAATATGTCGCGACAGAGGGAGTAATAGAATAAAGAATAAATGAAATCGTGGTACAAAATCTTCTTACCTTGATTTGGTTACTAAATGCAACAGGTGACTCAAAGGAGTTTATGGACATTGGTCCGTTTCATGATAAAGACAACGATTTGAACCAGTGGCCTTCTAAAGGTATTTCTAATAATTTTTGCACGCAAAATTCAAGCTGGTTTAGGCACTTACCAATTATCTCCATCCAAATTAAGTTGACACAATGCTATGAGTAGTTGACAAATTTTGTATGGTATAGTTTACAATAATGTTGTGAGATCGATTTGGGCTCGTATATTTTTATTGACTATATATTTCTTGTGTAGGGTAGCTTTTAATCGTCCCATGATGTAAAAAAAAAAATAAAATAAAAGAAGAAATAAGTAGTGTGACTAGACAACTAATTCCAAACAAAAGATTAGTTGTCATGGTTAGTTCATGCTTTAAAAATTACGTGAAAAATATGGATCTTTCTCCTCTAAATGTAATTTAAAGACCTTCATATACAAAGACTAATTACAACAATCATGATGGCAAATCAGAGCTTCTTCCAAATTGGAGACCAACCGTGGAAGCTTACCATGATAAAATTTTGTAAGTTATACTTCGGATGATTTTATCATTGTTTTATCTATACGCTTTCCTAGCATATAAATCATGGAAATTAATAAGGGGAGAAATGTCAATAGCATATAAATCCAAGTCTATTTACAATTTGCACATTACAGTAAATTTGGACATTTTGCCTCTTATTAGTTGCATATTATTAGATACATTATTAATTTCTTGCTTTGTCCCACTAATAATGTGTACCATGGTGCTTTAGGACTGCTGGTAAAAGATTATATTCACTTCTTGCTCTGGCCTTGAACCTAAGTGAGAACTATTTTGAGGACATTGGAGCTCTGGATCCACCTATGCCTTTCATTCGCCTCTTACGTTACCCAGGTACTTCCAATTATATACGTGTGTCGTGTGATAATTCAAGGTCTACACGAATTTTTTTTATCATTATCATCGTAATTTTTCTTCTTTGATTTTACAATTTCAGGGGACCTAAGTTATTATACTGATGAAGTTTTAGGAGCTTCTGCTCACTGTGATTATGGAATGATGACTTTACTAGCAACCGATGGTGTTCCTGGACTGCAGGTACATACTTGTACATAACATGATAGTTTATTTGCTAATTGTTACGTTAAGTTACATTAATACAACCCTCGCGCAGAGGGGCACCTAATGTAATTTTTCCTTAGATTAACCAAAATATTATGTGAAGTTGCAACTGATTATCGATCATGCATGTTTATTACCTAAGGTTTGCCGGGAAAAAGATCGCCAACCTCGTATTTGGGAGGATGTTCGTCATATTGAGGGGTAAATTTTCCACTATAGTCATGAAACTACAAGTTAAGGTCTTGATTTTAATTGTGACAAGTTTGATACATTTAATTTGCAGGGCTTTAGTTGTCAACATTGGTGACCTTACTGAGAGGTGGACCAATAATGTTTTTAGGTAAACGACATTATGTTATTTGTCAATTACCAAACCATTATTTACATGACACTCTTTTGTTGTTGTCTGTGGATATCGACTAATAACTTAACACGGGTAGTATTGTATTTAAAACTCGGGATCAAATATAATCAATCTAAATTGCGGCATACACTATGGTTTTCCTATCCTAGCTTCTGGATGGAGTAAATGTAATGCCAACTTATGTTTTCTCCTTACACATATTGTCTTGTTTGCTGGTTGCAGGTCAACATTGCATAGAGTGGTGCCAACGGGACAAGAACGTTACTCTGTATGTGTTACTTTATTCTTTTTGCTTCAATGATCTTCTATTGTTCATTTATTTTTACCGTACCCTTGTTCAATAATAATTCAATTTGTTATAATCCTTTATAAAAACTGTGCCACAAAAAAAAAGGTACTTCATTTTTTTGATGAAATACTTTATATATATTTACAAGTATAATTTTCAAGTTCTTCATATTAATCGATTCTGAAATCTATGTATGTGTTGCATTACTAATTGACAAAGACTACTAAAATGTCCTGCAGGTGGCTTTCTATCTTGATCCATCGCACGATCTTATAGTGAAGTGCTTAGAAACTTGTTGCAATGACTCAAATCCTCCAAGGTTAATTTCAACCTTTTTATGTCTGCTTTTATTTTTGTAGTTAATCGTTATTTTTTGCATGAATTATACTCGTAAAACACTTGATCCCTTAATGTGCATCATCTTATTTTTTCATGAAATCGGCTATTTAATTAACTTTCTTCTTTCATCAATGGCAGATTTCCTCCATTTCGCTATATTGATTACCTTCTAGAACGCTTCAAGGGCACATTTGAAGCTTGAAGTTACACGGAATATATCATGTAAATAAAGCCTTAGAATTTACAAGGATAGATTATTATTATTATGTAAAAACGCTTTGGAAAGGGTGTTAAATAGCTTTGTCTCTTTGATGTTAAGGGCTTTGATGATTTTCTCTTGTTTGTTTGATGTAAAATCCTGCTATGCTCATGCATGTCTCAAACGTGATTTGCGAAGAACACACTTCGTTTTTTCAAGTTCAAGCTTGTGAAGCCTACTTTCATTTAAAGCCGTTTATGTTTGGTGAAAAAAAATTAAAAAATTTAGTGCCAATTCGAATTTCGAATAGTTGAATTTTTGAAAGCTCCTTATTGGTGCCAATCTACAAATTAGATGGTGTTACGTTGACCGTGAATTCAAGAGCGATCATTTATACTTTGTACGAAGTAAATGTTTATGAACCATCCACCAACTTAACAGTTTATAAGTGACTTGTTTAATTTAGGGTGTGTTGTATTCACTTTATTGAACCTGAACTTATCTGAATAGAACTAAACTTAAATCTTATTGGAACTATTAAACCTTATTTACTACTACTAGGTCTACTACTAAACCTTTTTAGGGTCTAGTCTAATACACGAGATGTTGGGCAAGTAGGGTCAATCTTTACTCTTTAGAGAACAAGCAAAGATAATCAATTAACGAGTCTATGCTAGGTCGAACTCTCGATTTATCAAGCAAATAATAGATAAGATCAAGCAAATAATCATATCTAAAAATGATACACTCGTATGAGTAATATGAGAAATTGAGATAAGGTTAAGTCTTAACACTTTGTTTGGATTGAAGGAAATAGAGGGAAAGAAAATGGAGGGATAAATTATCTTTTACGAAGTATTTGGATAACAAATGAGGGAAGAAGAGAATTGAAGGGGGAGAGAAAGGGAGGGATTAAATTTAAAAGGAAAACTCATCATTCTTCCCTTCCCACCCCTTGTCCCCTTCCCCTTTCTCCCCTTCTTTTACTTCCATTTTCTATATTCAAACCCACCGTAAGAGGTTGTTTGGTTACACAAAGAAAATGGGGAAAATGGAAAATCATGAGAATTTGAAAATGTAGGAGTTGTTTGGTTGACAATAAAAAGTGTAAATGAGGGAATTGCAAATTAATGAGAATTGTGACTTCCCACAAAACATGGGAAGTTAATTACGCAACTTCCCCTAAGTAAGTCAAAATTCCCATGATTTACAACTTCCTTCATTCCAACCAAACAACTTTATGCAATTCTCATGAATTTGATGTAGTAATTTAAATTCCATGAAATACAAATTTCTATGAGAAGTAAATTCCCATAGCAACCAAACGACACCTAAAAGTGATAAAAGACACGTTATATATGAAAAAGTATCCAATAAAAATTTCTATTTTTTCAAATTCACCTCATTCATTATCGACTTATCATTAGATCAATTGATGTATTTGATTGTAATATTGTAATTACATATTGAAATTGATGTTGATGGTTGTTAATTTGACGTGTGTTGATGGTTAAAGTATTAAAAGAAGAGGCGAAGAGAGTAGGGAAAAGAGTTATGAAATGAAAGGAAAATAAGTAAATTAATACTCCTACTAAAAATGAATACACATACTTTATCGATCCAACTCCAACCATTAGAATAAATGGAGCTGATAAACGTGTCATGTCCTGTCATTTTCGTGTTCGAAGTTAAAAGAGTTGATAGGCCTCAACACTAACCCAACCCATTTAATAAACATGTTATGTCGAGTTGACCTGTTTAACTAATTGTGTCGGAAACTTTTGACACTAACCCGCTATTTTCGGAGCTCTTTCCCAAATTAAAGTCAAGAAGAACCGCAATTCCCAAATTGCAGCCAAATCTTTTTATTTTCCCATTCTACCGTCCACGTAAGCACTGGTTAAAAAACCGGTTTTTTTTTTTCCGGTCCAGGGTAAACCGCTACTTGAAGTAGCGGTTTCTTTGCAATAAACCGCCACTTCAAGTAGCGGTTTCTTAGTTTAAAACCGCTACTTGAAGTAGCGGTTTGTTTACAAAAAACCGCTATTTTATGTAGCGGTTTATTTTGGAAAACCGCTACTTCAAGTAGCGGTTTACTTTGAAAAACCGCTACTTGAAGTAGCGGTTTACCCTGGACTGGTTTTTTTTTCAAACTTGCATAATCACTCAAAAAAAAAATCTGCAAGTTGTGTACCTGTAAAACATGAGATATATAGCATATTTTCAACACAACCACCATAAATAACAAGTTTATGAAGATCTAAGGAAGTCGAAATTGCAAAGTCGAATATTTTTCAATTGATTAAATATAACAAAATCCAATTCTAAGCATTTACAAAAAAATTAGTTTAGTTCCAAAATATACACTTAGCTCGGGCGTTGCTTCTTCCCATGAGGTGACGATGAAGATGATGCAGCTGTCTCCTCTGGAATGTCATCCAGGCCAACTCCAACCCCAGACGTAGTGTTGCTACGCCGTCGGTTTCTCTGATACTGGCGATGCACTAGTGGAGGAGATGTCATGATAGTATGCTGAGAAGGAGTCGGTGGACGGAAGGCACGTGCTGAATGGCCTCCACGATGAGGTGGTGGTCTGATCGGCATAGTGTGCACAGTAGAAGATGAAGACGTGGACGGTCGAGGCTGCTGAATAAGGTGTGACTGCCCCACCCTAGACAAGGTTTGGCCACAAAATGATGTAAAACCCTGCATCGTCTGTATGGCAAATGGTATAGCCGTCTCTGGTGGCAAGTGGGAGATGGTCTCAGTAGCTCCCGATAGCTGGACGTGCAAATCAGCAAATGCATGTGCCTACATTTAAGTGTAGTTTTAATGTTAGTAAAATGAAATCAAAAACGTAAGAACTAGATTGAAATGAAGTGAAGTTCATACAAGCAGGAGGTCAGAGGTAGCTGGCTGGTAATGACTCGGGGGGCGCTCCTGCGAAGGTGGAGTAATGACCAGTCTCGTGATGCGACGGTACCAAGCCATGTACTCTGTCATGGCCGGGGAAGAAGTCCCAGTGAACGGGTATCCCTGGACGACTAATGCCTCTCGTCGACTCCACTCGTGTACATGGTCCGAATGCCGAATCTCCCAATTATGCTGTCCCCTTCGATCCTTCCTGTGTAGAGCAACGTCCGTGTCTACATCCTGTGGGATCGGCTGGTCTAACCCGAACTGACGAAGGACTCGGTCTGGGAGGTGGAACTCAACGACGTCAAAGCATATCAGAGGTGCCCGTGAACGCCAAATGTGCATGTCTGAGCGACAAATCTCCGGAAGTCGATCCATCACCGCCTCAGTATATGGCTGCCAAATCATCTAATTCCCAAAACAAGTATGTCAACATGTATATGACTAACATAATGGAAGAAATACAATGCACAAAAAAAAAAGAAACACCGATTGTACCTGGTCCTCGCGCTGATGGTCAAACGCATCTCTGTAGTATGGTAGTCCAGAAGCAGTATGCGCACACGATAGATGGACACGTAACCACCTGTAAAGACATGTTAATAATAATTCTTGAAAGATAGAACTGTAAGAACATGAACTTGAAGCAAACATTGTACCTGCACGCCAAAGGGTCAACACCTCGCTGATGCTGAGTCCCCAAAATGTCATCCTCATCCTCAGCCTCAGGGTCCTCCTGTGGCGGATCTCGAGGCCTCCTAATGTATGGTCGGCCAATAGTAATATGCTCCCACGACCACAACTGTAGTAGGATGAGCGGGCCTCCAATCTGTCTTGAATCTCGCTGACATGCTCGACATAGCTGCCGATACAAAAAACCAAGAGTCGCACTCCCCCAGCTGTAGGTCGAAGCTGTCTCCCAGTCTCGAAGGAACGACAAGTAGTAGAGTGACACAGCATCGCCACTCTTGTCGGCGAACAGAATAGATCCCATGAGAGTGAGAATGTAAGCACGGCTATGGCGCTAAACTGTCAAGTCATCAGCTCCCTCTGGCATCTGTGAGAAGTGACGTCTGAGCCACGTCAACTTCAAAGTAGATCCCTCCAGAAATGGCTTACCGTTATCATCATGGCCAGGTCGAACTCCCAGCAACTCCTCAACTAGGTCATGCCATCCCTCAAATGGAGGTCCAATGAAAGGAGGGCCGTGCACTCTCAGACCTAACAGGACGGAGACATCCTGTAAAGTAATGGTGGCCTCACCTACCACTAGGTGGAAAGTATGTGTCTCCTGCCTCCACCTCTCAACCAACGCCGTAAGAAGAGATCGATCAAGCAAAAACCCTCCTCCCAAAATCCTATGTACACCGTAAAACCCAGCAAGCCTAACGTACTCTAGTACTCCGCCATCTACCCTCCACTCACGTCCCACGCTGACCATATGCTCCCTAACTGAGAGAACTCTATCAGCTACGCCACTCCAAACATCGTGGCTCCTATGGGAAGTCTGCAAGCGTAGAACAGATGGATCAACTGGACCTGGACGAATCACCGGCTCCATGGGACCTACACGATAACAAAAAATTGAATTAATGTTAAGCGTTCGAGAAAAAACATAAATATTAAACAAGAATATATAATTAATCATGTTACCCAGATGATCCAAATCCACCAATAAGAGTAGGACATGTCTTCTTGTTATGCCCAGGTCGCCGACAAACACTGCATGCCTTCTTCACACGATAGGGACGCTCATCCATTTCATTTCGAATTCTAGTGGACCGTCGGCCTGGGCCTCTTTTCAAATCTGGGTTGGCAATAGTAGTAGGACCATTGTAAGCTGACCAGTGGCAAGGATCAGGAACTGGTGCGAAACACTTTGCGTATGAACGCCTATATTCGGCGGTCATGAAAAAAGAATCCACAAAGTCTGCATGTGATAGGCTTCTATGACGACAAACTGCTAGTACATGAGAGCATGGGAGCTTGTATATTCTCAATTTCTCACAAGTACATGTCTTGCTCAACAGATTCACAGTGTGGGAGTTACCACCTTTACCAGCTTTTCTTCTTCCACGACCGGTCCTAACCTGATACAACCCGATGGCATCATAGTCAAAAGCAACAACCTCATGGTGCGTGGCTTTCTCCATGTTGGCTTCTATTGTCTTCTTAGCCTTTTCCGATAACTCATGGCCCTCTTCAAGTCTTCTTTTACTCCAACTTCTTCTAGTTGCAAAATAGGAGTTAACCCGGAAAAAGGTCATTTGCACTAAAGCGGTTATCGGGAGACATCGAGCCCCCTTTAAGACTCCGTTGAAAACTTCCGACATGTTTGTAGTCTTCACACCAAACCTGAAACCACCATCATGATGAATGGACCACTTACTGTACGGAATTTCCATCAAGTACCTACGGGCCTCTACATTCAAGTCACCAATTTTGTTGATGTAGTAATCAAACTTCTTCTTCTGCCTTGCAGTAGCTGCTTTGCCAAAGAGGTTCTTTATGACGACACTTTTAGATTTTGAGTTCACATTAGAAGCCAAGTGTCGTGTACAGTACTTGTGGTAGGCATTGGGCTCCTCCCAACCACTTCCAACTTCTTCCATTGCTGCTAAAATACCAGCATGTCTGTCAGATATCACACATAGCCCTTTCCTATCTGTAACTCGAGCACGAATACAAGTCATGAACCAAGACCAACTATCATTGTTCTCTCCTTCGACAACCGCAAAAGCAAGGGGGAATATTTGAAAATTGGCATCCGTTCCCATAGCAATGAGTAGAGTGCCTTTGTATTTGCCATATAAATGAGTGCCATCAATGGTGATAAGGGGTCTGCAGTGACGGAATCCATCAATACATGGCTTGAATGCCCAAAAGACTCGTTGAAAAACATGTGTTCCAGGAACCGTACACTCTAACAACCTCCACTCAACAACAGTTCCAGGATTTGATTCCTTGAGAGCTTGCATGTACTTAGGCAACTGTTCATATGAACCCTCCCAATCCCCATAAATGAGTTTTATTGCCTTTTGTTTCGCTAGCCATGCTCTCTTGTAGGTTATTTGGAATCCATCAAATTTCTCTTTCACAAGTTGCACCATTGTCTTGATTTTCAATGAAGGATCAACGCGAATGACATCTAGAAGAGCATTGCAAACGAACTCGGAAGTCAGTAGCTTATGATCTCCCGAGTCGATTGTCACCAACACAGTTACTCCTTTAAGCCTCCACGAACAACTACATTGTTCTTTCCTCTTGCACTCAACAACATATTTCTCTGGCTCTGCCTCCACAACTCGAATTGTTTGATTTCTAGCTATGGAGTAAGATTTCACAGCATCTTTCAGTTGTTGCAATGAGTCAAACTGCTGACCAACCTCAAATTCTCCCCCATTGTTATATGTCTCATTTCCTAACCAAGACATCCATGAGTTATTCAAACGAGGATCAACTTGCGCCACTTCATTGAAGTCTGAAGTGGGGGCGCTTCCTTTAATTGCCTTATCACGAGCTTCAATTACCTCTTCATCATCATCTTCATCAGTGTCATTCATCTCTGCATCGCCAAATACATCAACATTGTTTGGGTCAAGAGAATCAAGAATGCCTTGTGGTTGTGTGCTTGTCGAGGTTCCAACATTAGGCGATGAGGCCGGAGACCTAAACTGTGAGAGATGGTCATTGACATAATGTGGATCAACAAGCATTCTTGTGAATGACCCTATGCCCACACTTTGAACACCAGTGGAAAACGGTTGATCCACACTACCAAAAAAATCCATCCCCGGAAAGGAACCAGTGTTAGTTTGCACAACTGGCTCCTTTGGAACTTGTTCAATGAACAATTGCATTGCAACAGAAGAACTCTGAGTCACAGCAATCCACATAGCTCTAACAGCGTTGTCGTCATTTAACGGAATTGCAACATATGCCCCAGCCATAGGATAACGCATAACCACCTTCAACTCCACACCTCTAGGATCAACACTCAATTCTTCATATAGCTTGTTCAGAACTTGTGAATATGTCATCGCAGAATGTACAAACACAAATTTTTGATTCCCACCCCTATACGTTATATCGCTATCTTTGTGGACAATTTCTCCACCCCAATAGCAATATAGAGGGTAGTTCGGAACCTCCATGTTTCATTCTAGAAAAGACCATTATTAATCAAAGATATTAGATTGCAAAAATTCATTAACAGTGTGGCAATGTCCTAACATCAAGCAAGCAAACTACACAATTATAGCAACCTAAACTGAGCTATGAAGGTCTTAATACCTCTTGAAGCTCAACATGGGCATAAGTCATGACTACATGTACTTTGAGCTCATGTACTTTGTGTATAGAAGCTCTATTTTCACTTTCAAAATCAGCAATTATAGCAACCTAAACTGAGTAATGTGATCGAAACCATTAATAATTCTACAAGGGTTATATGTAAGGTAAGTAAATCAACAACAACAACCAAAACCAACCACAAACATACATACAATTCTGAAACTCAATAACAACAACAATAAACAAGAACACTAACAACAACAACACAACCAAAACCGAAACTCAATAACAACAACAATAAACAAGAACACTAACAACAACAACACAACCAAAACCGAAACTCAATAACAACAACAATAAACAAGAACACTAACAACAACAACACAACCAAAACCGAAACTCAATAACAACAACAATAAACAAGAACACTAACAACAACAACACAACCAAAACCAACAACAACAACACATACATACAATTCTGAAACTCAATAACAACAACAAACTCAATAACAACAACAAACCCAATAACTGAATACAAAAAATAATTAGGGCACTTACCACAAACAAGAAGATCAGCACGTTTCTTCTGAAATTAGCGAAGCCGACCACTAAAGTCGAACCCTCGGCGTCAACAGCGGCGGCCTTCGTTGCTGAGGAATGCTCCGGCGGCGTCGGTGGATTCCTTGGCTGCGCCGGCTTCCGTTGAAGGAGGTGTGATTTTGGTGGAAGGCGTGGATGGGATTTTGGTGAGAAGACGAAAATGAAAGAGGAAAGTGAAATCAGGAAATTATACCTGCTAGAAAACCGCTACTTGAAGTAGCGGTTTATTAAACAAAAACCGCTACTTGAAGTAGCGGTTTATTAAAAAGAAACCGCTACCTGAAGTAGCGGTTTATTAGTAAAAACCGCTACTTCAGGTAGCGGTTACTTCAGGTAGCGGTTTTGCTGTAGACCGGATTTAAAATTTCTTCCCCCTGAACCGGTGACGTGGACGGTACTTTGGAAATTCTTAAAACTTTGGCTGCAATTTGGGAATTGCGGTTGTTCTTGACTTTAATTTGGGAAAGAGCTCCTATTTTCGTATCCGGTTCATGTCGTGTCATAAGTCAAAATATAAGCCCCATTCAAGATAATTATCATAAAATCCATTCATTATTTATTATTTTAAGCGGCTTGATTCGTGTTAGTTTCGTGATGGAATTCAAAACTTTAACCCAACTTGTTAAATTAAACGTGTCGTGTCGTATTCACCCATTTAATCAAATATGTCATAAACCTTTGATACTAACTTAATTTTTTTGGTTCATGTTGTGTCACATCAGCTTTTTGCCAACTTTAATGATAAATGAAACAATTTTAATTGACGGTGCTATTGTATGATTGATATCCCACCTAATTCAATGATTGTGTGCTAAAATAACTAAATAATCAACCTAGCTAATCCTATTTGAATTGATGCCGACAAATTTCACTTGCTTTCGTTGTAACAAAAACAATAAACACCTCAGACCAAAATTAAAAATAGAATAAAATAATACCCCATTAAAAAAAAAAAAAATAACTTTTTTGGATGGAAATAAGTTCTTTTAAATCTTACAACGAGAAGGTTATAGAAAGGACAGAGAAAGTGAATTGGTTGAAGAAGCAAGAGCGGAGCAGAGAACAGACTAGTACTCGTAGTAGAAAATAATGGGAGAAGTTAATTTGATTGCAAATCTTCCCATCATCGATTTATCGGCAACTGATCGATTTTCTACCGCTGCAACACTTCGTCAGGTTTGCTGCTTAACTTCTTTCTTTCTATATATATGTATATGAAAGGATCACAATGGTGATGGAATAAACATAATAATACTCTAGAAGAGGGGGGGTTGAATAGAGTATGGGCAATTTTCGTAAAACTGATAAGTCAAGACCTTGAGATCAGTTACAGGGCGGAATAAACTGATCTCTGTTTTAAATTCAAGACTTTGAAAACTATTTATAATGTAAAACAGCTACTAATCAGAATGTTAGAAACGTTTGTTTGGATTTTGCTAAATATATTTAAAACAAAAAAACGAAAGCAAGAACAAGGCAAAAGTAAATGCAAAAATAAACAGAAGAGACACAAGGAATTGTTACGAAGTTGGCCTACGTCTCCGCCTAGGGTTGTTAGACCCGTAGGATTTTAAACCAACTTTTATTTCCTCCTTTAGAGCTCTAAAGCATCCTAGAAGATCTCACTATTTTCTCTCCGTAGCATCCCAGCTACACCTTAGACACTCAATTCCTAGAAATAAAAGGCTATCTCACTTTTACTATACTTTGAGTATTATAAATTTACTCTAAGTATATCACTCTTTTGATATATTCTTTTTCCACTCTTAGATACACTTTTCTTTTCTCTCAATCTAATCACACAATAAGGTATTAAAGAAATTAGAGAGAAAATATTTAACACTCTTGCTATAGTGTATGAAGCTTGATAATTTTTGAGTGTTCTTGTTCTACGTTGTTGTTCTTGTCGTTATTATTTCTTCAGCATATCTTGACGCTATTTATAAGGCTTCAAGACTGATTTCAAACGTTGTAGATTTGATTTCAAACCTTTGAAAAACACCAACCGAATTCCTTTAATCTTGCTTCTTCAACAACCTTCGGCTATTTGAAATTTGAACGTTGCTAGCGGTTTGTTTCTGTTTCAACGTTTATCTTTGAATATATCTTTGAATAAATTTCCAGCCTTATCCTATGCAACAGCAAGACTAACAACTTTCTTGAAACAAGGTTAGGTAATACAGGATAAATTAATTCAAAATATAATCTGAAAAATTAAATAGATAAGAAATATAATTATGAAATATTATTAACAAACTCAATCATATCATATAGATAAATAATCAAAACAGAAAATTAATTTGTTAGAGATAAAATGATCAGAATAATTATCACAATATATTTATGCAAAATAATATAATCATCCAAACTAACAAATCCAATCTATCATGCGTATTGGGCTTTAAAAATAAACCAATTCGTACAGTCCAATGCAACATAATATATTAATATATGTTTTGACTTCCATCATAAACTTAAATAAAAATATCATCAAGGTGGAGCCTTCAGTATATGTACTCCTTATGTTCCCGGATTAGTTGTCACATCAATAGTGTAATTTAAACTAGCAATACGATAACTTAAACATGTTGATAGTCGTGAAAAATCCCAACTCACCTTCATATTTTGATGATTAAATGAACAATAATCATCAAAAGGAGCAAAATGTTACATCTGGGTGTATATAAGAATCTCTCTGAAATTTTTTGCTTGAAGAACCGAGAAATTGATCTTCTAGTATTATTTTCCCTCATTTTCCTGTGTTTGTATTCTATTCTTCCACAAACCAAGCAAAGGAAAATGAGGATAAATGGGAAAATCATTTTCAGTTAAAACATTTTACATCAAACCAAACGCACCCAAACAACTCATCCTACCTTCAAACTCAGGTTGACACACAAACATGTCACCCTGAGTTCAAACTCAAGTTGATGTCTAAACACATCACCTTCAAACATGTCCTGCAGCATAACAATCGTCATTAGCAGTGTATTAATATGATTGTTTAATCAACTTTCAAAATTACTCATACTTTATCATGATCCAATTCTTAATGTGATCTCATGACATAGAAGAATTATCTAGAGTTGCATTTCTTGTAGAAAAGCCATTCAGGGAAATACATTTGCTAACTTGTAACATTTGGTGGTTTAGGCATGCATTGAAGTCGGTTTCTTCTACATTGTAAATCATGGAGTGGACAAAGCTCTATTCGAAAGATTGTTTGATGAGAGTAAGAAATTCTTTTCACTTCCCGAGGAAGAGAAAATGAAACTTGATAGGAAGAAGGAACTCAGTGGATATACTGCATTATATTCTGAGAAGTTGGATACTTCTTTAAACACTAAAGGTTTTGTTGATCCATGATCTTAACTACTACTATTTGCTTTTATAATTATTAAACCACCTTATTCTTAGTTACAAGAGTGCAAAGAATTTTGAAGATCTAGCAACTTACCTTATTCAATTGCAGGTGACCCGAAGGAGTCTTTCTACATTGGCCCGCTTCATGATGAAATCTGCAATTTGAACCAGTGGCCTTCTGAAGGTAAGCTTGTTATCCAGTTTGGTTTGTTAATTTGGGCTTTACTTTGAAATGATCATTCCTTAATGGAAAGATGTTAGCTCAGACTTTTTTTGTTTTTCCTTGTTTGATTAAACTTTATCAGAATTCAGATACTAATTTTAACGCGTACTAATTGTGTCATACCAGAGCTTCTTCCAAATTGGAGACCAACTATGGAAGCATACCATAGACAAATTCTGTAAGTTAAACAATGTCATCGTGTCCAATACATGCATTGTCCAGGCTTGTGGTTTGTTGAGGGACATTACTCTACTGTCAGCTTTAGGTTGTCTGATCTTGTTAGTTTCTACTTTTTAACTGGAAATGATGCTGTCAAGGCAAGCTGTGTCTTTTCATCATTTTACTTTTCCAAGTATTAATTGTTTTGTTCAATGTCGCACCTTGTACCCTTACACCCTGTGGTTGCATACGGCATTAAGGTTGAAGTGGAAATTCCTTGACAAAGATCAAGTCAGTCTAATCCTGATAGCATACACAATGTCTTGAAAACTAAAGGGAATGGGGATGGTTAGCTGATGAATAATATGGATCTGATGTATTAGTGTATTTCAGTTTATGGCTTCTACAGTTCAATAAAACGCTTAAATGTGGTGCCTCAGGAGTGCAGGAAATAGTTTACTATCACTTCTTGCGCTGGCGTTGAACCTTGATGAGAAGTTTTTTGAGAATGTAGGAGCTCTGGATCCACCAATGCCTTTTCTTCGCCTCTTACATTATCCAGAAGGTCTGATGAAATATATGTATTTACCATATCGATACTATTTTTCAACTTGATTTCCAATCCTTCCCAGCATTTCCTATTTATATTTATCCTTGTGGGACTGAACATTCTGTAATTCGCTCAACTTGAATCCTGACTTAATTTCAGGAAGTCCATCTTAATACTTCTTTTCTTATTTGTATGTTACTATCAGGTGACCCCAGTTGCCACAATGATGAAGTTTTAGGGGCTTCTGCTCACTCTGATTATGGAATGATCACTCTGTTGGCCACTGATGGTGTTCCAGGATTACAGGTATGTCTAAATTAGTCAAAAAAAAAAAAAAAAATTTAATAGTTGCTCAATGATGAAAACACATTCTGTTATGTTTTCTTAGGTCTGTCGGGAAAGGGATCGTCAGCCACAGATTTGGGAGAATGTTCCTCATGTTGAGGGGTGAGTTTCCAGTGAAAAAAGTGGCAAAAATGCCGAATTTAGTCTATGGAGCTGCACTTAAATGAACTTTTCCCTTGTTGCTCATAGAAATTTTTTGGAAAATGTGATGTAGAAGTACTATACTGAATCATTCATTACTCCAGGAAGCTTCACAATTGTAGCTCTTAAATGGGTTCTTGACTTCTCTTTACCATATCTAACTGTCTAACGGTTGCCTTCATAGCTACACATGTATTCAGAAGAGCCAAGAACAATGAAGATTTACTGTTTTCTCTATTTTCTTTTTACTCTTTACATGTTAGAAATATTTCAGGCAACATAGACCATGTATTACGTTCCAGGTCTAGCTACTATATCCTTCCCTGCTGATTCCTCAGTTATTTGCATATGATTGGCGATGGCTTAGGAAATCTGATTAATATTTTTATGTTTTTGCAGGGCAATAATTGTCAACATTGGTGACATTACGGAGAGGTGGACAAATGGTTTGTTTAGGTAAAGTTTAATGGTGTTTGTCAAAGAACTTGCTTGATTAAACATTCTGTTCTTATTACCAGGATCAGTTATCAAACCTTACATTTCTTCATACTTACACACACACACACACAGAGTCACTGCTAGAGTTACTGCTTCATTATGTTATAGGGATGTCAGCTAGTAAGGTCTCACCGTCTCAGTAGGTGATAAACAAGAACACAACTACACAAAATTTGGGATGTAATTTCTTTTGCATATATACCCATGTTTTTGCTTTTTTCCTTACCTGTTTTGTGTTATATGACGACAGATCAACATTGCACAGAGTGGTGCCAAAGGGACGAGAACGATATTCTGTAAATAATCTCTCCCCTCTTCTCTCCTCTCCTTTCCTCCTTTTCCTTTCAGTTTTTCTAATTAACTCTCCAAGTCCAGCAGGCATTGATCATATGCATTTCTTTTTACCTTTTGCTGTCGTCACTTGCATGTGTATGTCATGTTTAAAGTTGATACTAGCATCGATTCCCACTTGGCAGTCTTATTATATTATTTAGATAGATGCTAACTTTGTTAGACTAGAATGTCTTAGCATTTCTCAAATTTGTCAAGAAAATTGATGTTAATTTGTTGTTAAGATGAGACACAGAAACATTCTTGGTGTATTTGACTACTGGTCATACATAGTAAGCTAAGACTCATGTGCTGTTTTATTTGGTGATTTGTCTTCAGGCTTTTCAGCTAATTAAAGTACATACAATAATGTTAAGTGAGATTTTTGCAATGCGTTATTGTAAAGCTGTCTTGTAAATTAAATCGAATACCTAAGTATATTGACAATTTGTCAATAGAATTTGAGAAGATGAGAGCAAGAGGCTTTGCATTTACTGAGGACTAAAATAGCTGCATTTTCTATGATATCATACTTGCAGCTTTCGCTTTGTATTGTTATTCTAATTCAAGAGTACCTAAAGTAACAAATACGAGTACTGCTAACTTGTGCAGGCAGCTTTGTTCCTTGATCCTCCACACGATTTTTCAGTGGAGTGCTTAGAAACTTGCTGCAGTGAGTCAAATCCTCCCAGGTAAACAAAATTATGGTTTATTCTTAGTCTGATCTTTGTTTTGACTAATTCATAAATCAGCGGTATCCCATTCCGCTCCACCATTCTAGAGTTAGCCCCATGCTCACTCCACCATTCAATATATTGTAAGCATAAAGCATTAGTATAGATCAAGAAGGGTTTTTATCAATATATTGTTGATATTGAACACCCATCGACCCAGTGTGCTTTCTCACTAGTACTGTTGTGCCTGTGGCATCACAGTTACATGTATTGCTAAAATAGATGCGTTTTCTTCCTTCCATCGTAGATGTCTTTAACCTGATAAAATTATATACTTTGTATCTTAGAGCAAGCTAATAATAAATTATGACTTTACTCTTACCTTTCTATTGACAGATTTCCCCGATTCGCTACAGTGACCACCTCCAAGAACGCTACAGGGTTACATATGGAGCTTAGGAGCCCCCTTGCCAATCACTTACGTACTCGTACCTTAAAGAACAAGTGTTGGTTGTTCTGGGGAGTTCAAGTATGGTCATACGGAGTATGTCTCACCACTATTAATGTATAGTTGTGGAGGAATAGGTGAAAGATGGAGCTTGGAATTCATACATGTATAAATGTGTTCATCTTGTATCTATTAAAAATGTAAAATTTGCTGGATGATTTGCTCTCTTTTAGCTTCATATGAATGTGAAGTTAAAGTATATCAAGAAATGTTTAGTGTAATGTGTGAACTGAATAATGAAAGGAATTCCATCCCACTAATGACTTGTTTTAGCCCTTAGCTTATTACCTCTTAACGTAATTTGTCTGATTATTAAGAAATTGATGTGCAGATTAACTATTAAATTGTTTTTAAAAAAGAGGTGAAGAGAGCATGAAAAAAAGAGGGAAAAAGTTACGGAATTGATCCCTATTGACCATATATTCATGGATCAAATGAGAAATTGATGTGGAAGTTATTTGAATTGTCAAAAAAAGGTGAAGAGAGAAATTTTTTTATTTTTTTTAAATTTTATTTTTTATTTTTTGGTGTTTAGAGAGTCACAAAGCGGTGGTGAGAATCGATCCTAGAATCTCCTGAAATCGGAGGGAAACTCTAACCACTCGAGCTATAAAAAAAGAGAAAAAAAAAATGATAGAATAAGAGAAGTAATGAACAGTACGGAGAATTAATTGATCGAACTAACTCGGAGTTCATAAAATAAAATGGAGCAATTTTAGTAGGACATTTGGAAAAAAAACAACCTAAAGTACCAAATGATACGAGTATCAACCTACATAGTGACACCCACCTATTTTATTGATCGCGTGCTAAATTATGTACTCCAGTAGATAAAAGTACAGATGATATCAGCCTAGCTATTCTTCTTTGATTAGACGCCGACAAATCTTACCTACTAATTTATTTATTTATTTTTGAGTGGTATCAAAAACACCTCAAATCAAAATATACTTGAATGGAAGTGGTCAAAGAAGCAAGAGCGTAGCAGACGAGAGAGAAGAATAAAGTAATGGGACAAGAATATTTGATTGCAAATCTTCCTATCATCGATTTATCGTCACCTGATCGAATTTCTACACCTGCTATTCTTCGTCAGGTTTGCTGCTAGTTGTACACCTTATGTTCTCGTATTAGTTAAACTAGCAATGCAATAACTAAAAGTGAAGAAAGTAATAATAATAATAATCATGCTAGTATTAGTGACGATTCCCAACTTATCTTCATCGTTTTACCAATATTAATTACTATCATCTTGTCACTCATTTACATGAAATTTCTGAAGGAAGAACAGAGATATTTTTTTACTCTTATCAATCATTTTCCTATTTTCAGTATGTTTGTGTAATTGCAAGTTCTATTATGAAATGCATAAAGTTATTGTTTTCATGAAGAGAAACTGTTCTTCATTTTGTTTTTTTTTTTTTTTTTTAATGAATGATGCACATTATATTGTTTCTTAATTATTTAGACATGAACTTTGTTTATACAAATATCATGCTATGTTTTGTAGGATTTCATTTGTGGACAATTTACACATTTAGGATGGCCATATTTTGAAATGAATCAATGAATTATATTGATTGTTCATTGATACATGTCCACACTCCATAGTAAAATTATTGTGAGATAACCTTGTACAAAACTTGTCCGGCAGGCGGCAGCATAACAACTGTCATTAGCAGTGCAGTAAGGTAGTGGAGTCAACTTTCTACATTATTGGCATTTAATCGTGATTCTATGAAGCTGTCAATTGTTGATGTTTTCTCATGAGTGTCATGGCATAGATAAATTATCTACAGTTGCATTGCCTGTAGAAATGTCGTTCAGGGTGATACATTTACATGTTGCTAACTTGCTACATTTGGTGGTTTAGGCATGCATTGAAGTCGGTTTCTTCTACATTGTGAATCATGGAGTGGACAAAGCTCTATACGAGAGATTGTTTGAAGAGAGTAAGAAATTCTTTTCACTTCCCGAGGAAGAGAAAATGAAACTCGAAAGGAAGAAGGAATTCAGTGGATATACTGCATTATATTCTGAGAAGTTGGACACTTCTTTAAACACTATAGGTTTTGTTGATCCATGATCTTAACTATTTGCTCTTGTAATTATTAAACTACCTTATTCTGTGTTACAAGAGTGCAAGAAATTTTGTAGACTTATTAAACTTACCTTATTTGATTACAGGTGACCCGAAGGAGTCTTTCTACATTGGCCCGCTTCATGATGAAATCTACACTTTGAACCGGTGGCCTTCTGAAGGTAAGCTTGTTATCCGGTTGGTTTGTTAATTTGGGCTGTAGACTAATTTGTTTATGCCTTAATGGAAAGATGTTAATGCTCACACCTTTTTACTTGTTTTTTTCCTGCTTAATTAAACCTTATCAGAATTCAGATAATAATTTTACAGTGTGATGATTGTTTCATACCAGAGCTTGTTCCAAATTGGAGACCAACTGTAGAAGCATACCATAGACAAGTTCTGTAAGTTCAACGATCTCATCATGTGCAATATATGCGTTGTCCATGTTTGTGGTTTGTTGAAGGATATAACTCTACTGGCAGTATTAGATTGTCTGATCTTGTTAGCTTCTATGATTGTTCTTGTATAACTCCATTTTTAACTGAAATTGGCGCTGTTAAGGACAGCTATGTCTTTCTGTCGTGTTGCTTTTCTATGTATTGGTTTCTTAATTCAATTTTGCACCCTTACACCCTGTGGTGGTTGCATACTGCATAAAGGTTGTATTGGAGGAAGTTCCTTGAAAAGAAAAAAAAATAAAATCAAGTCAGTCTAATTCTGGTGGCATACGCAATATGTCCTGAAAAATCGAGGGGATGGGGATAGTTTGTTGATGAATAATACGGATCTGATGCATCAGTCTATTATGTTTATGGCTTCTATTGCTCTATGTAACACTTAAATGTGGTACCTCAGGAGTGCAGGAAAAAGTTTACTATCACTCCTTGCACTGGCATTGAACCTCGATGAGAACTTTTTTGAGAATGTAGGAGCACTGGATCCACCAATGCCTTTTCTTCGCCTCTTACATTATCCAGAAGGTCCAATACTTCCCATCATTTCCTATTTATATTTGTTCCTAGTTGGACTAAACATTCTGTAATATAATTTGCTACCAGGTGACCCCAGTTGCCACAATGATGAAGTATTAGGGGCTTCTGCTCACTCTGATTATGGAATGATCACTCTGTTGGCCACTGATGGTGTTCCTGGATTACAGGTATGTCTAAATCAGTCCAAAAAAAAAGTCATTTGATAATTGCTCAATGATGAAAATCACATTCAAATATGTTTTCTTAGGTCTGTCGGGAAAAGGATCGTCAGCCACAGATTTGGGAGAATGTTCCTCATGTTGAGGGGTGAGTTTTCAGTGTAGAATGGCAAAAATACCGAATTTAGACAGCTGGATGAATCTGCACTTAAACGAACATTATCCTTCTGTGAGATTTTATATGTATTATGCTTTTGCAGGGCAATAATTGTCAACATTGGAGACATGACAGAAAGGTGGACAAATGGTTTATTTAGGTAAATTTTAATTGTGTTTGTCAAAGAACTTGCATGATTAAACATTCTGTTCTTATCAGGATCAATTATCAAACCGTTAGATTTAGCTGACATTTCCTCATTCACATGCACGCGCGCGCACACACATTGTCATTGCTTAATTGTGTTCTAGGGATGTCAGCTAGTTTAGCTCCTGGTAGGGTATCAGTGGTTGATACACAACTACATATGATTTGGGATGTAATCCCTTTCGCATTATTGCTTGCTATTTTGCTTCTTTTTTTTTTTCCTTACGTGTTTTGCGTTATCTAATGACAGGTCAACATTGCATAGAGTTCTGCCAAAGGGACGGGAACGATATTCTGTAAATAATTTCTCCTCTCCTTTTCCTTGCAGTTTTTATAATCAACTCTCCAAGTCCAGTAGGCATCCATATGCAGTACTGTTTTCCCTTTTCTGTTGTGCACTTGCACAGTTGCACGTATACGACATGTTTAAAGTTGATTGTAGCATCTACTCCCTCTTGCCAATCTTATGTAGATGCTAACCTTTGTAAGACCAGAATGTTTTAGCAGTTCTCAAATTTGTCAATAAAGTTGATGTTTATTTGTTATTTCGTTAATTCACAGAAATGTTTTTGGTGTATTTGACCACTAATTATACATAGTAAGCTAAGAATTATGTGCTGTTTTACTTGGTGATATTCTAAAGCTTTTCTACTGATTAAAGTACGAACAAGCAACACTGTCCGTGTAGGCTGTCTAGTGAATTAAATCGAATACATGGAAGCTAGATATATAGAGGAGACTTATACTTAAAGTACCTGCATTTTTTCTGATTTCATACTTAGTTTTCATTAGTTGACTTGTATATTTAATCGTAATATCAGCAATGCCGTAAGAAACAAAAAATTATAACATGTGCAGGCAGCTTTGTTCATTAATCCTCGCCACGATTTTTTCGTGGAGTGCTTAGAAACTTGCTGCAGTGAGTCGAATCCTCCCAGGTAAACAGAACCATTGCCCAAGCTCAATTGTGTTTGCGGCATCACATCTACATGTATTGCTTAAGTAGATGCATTATTTCCTTCCAGATTAGATGTTTTTCATCAGGATATTAAGTTATGACTTCATCTTCCCTTTGTAAACGACAGATTTCCCCCGATCCGCTTCGTTGACTACCTCCAAGAACGTTACAGGGCCATATCACTTACATATGGAGCTTAGTAGTATACTAGTATGTCTTGCCACTTTTACTGGATTTTCGTGGATCAATAGGTGTAATTCGGAACTTGGGATGGAATTCATTCATTTATAAATGTGTTCATAATTTATTGTACGTCTATCTGATTATGTGTCTCGTAAAATTTGCTACGAGTAGATAATTTGCCTCTCGTAGCTTTTAGCTGCCAGTTGTACCCCTTAGTGTATAATTAGAGGTGTCAATTTGGATGTTCGGATCGGATTTGGTGAAATCGGGTCGGATCGGTTTGGGTCAATTTTTAAAGTTGAGTCATGTCAAATTATTGTGTTCACGCGAGTCGAAATTTAAATCAGATATTTTCGAGTCGGCTTCGGATCTAGTCGGATTTTGACACCTCTATGTATAATGTATGACTAGTGAGTAAATAAAAATAATTTTATCCCTCTAATGATTAATTTAGGAGAGATTGTTATATACACCCGGGTGTACCGTAAGTTTAGCCCAGTCTTATTATCAAAACTTATCTTAACTTATAAATGTGTAGTACTTTCACTTCGTATTTCCAGATTAATACTTGTGTATGATTTAAAATATTTTGAGCTAACTTTAATTCCAAATAAGGTGAACAAAATACAGCCTAAACACTAAGTTTTAATTAAAAATAAAATAAAATAGAGTTACCTGTAATACCCCACATTTTTTAATATTATTTTCTTAATTATTTTAATTTAGAAAGGGTATTTTAGTAATGTTATATTATTTGAATATAAGAGCCAAAATATGCTTTCAAATTTAGGCACCAAAATATTGGAGTTGATATAAATATTTTATCTCTTTTAGATTTTAAAGTGTTATTTAGTTATATTTGGAATTTAATGTCTAATTTCATAATTAATCACATAATAATATTCCAAAATTTATTTAATTTAGTGTTTTATGAATTTATCTTTAGATTTTATTTATTTAATTTTGGATTTATAGATTAATTAAATCTAATTGTTAATTATTATCTTAAAAATTCTGAAAAGTGATGATTAATTATGGAAATTAATTTTCTGATTTTCAAAGGGATTTTATCTTTTGAAATCAATATTTAATTAAATATTTTGAAATATCTTGAGCTTTTTACAATATTTTTACCATGCAAGTCAAAATTAATCATTTCCGGTTTATAAAACTTATTTAGCTTCAAATTCTTGTTCATGATAATTATTAAATGATATCATATTTATCCTAAATTTTCAGATTTTATAAAGTTATTTTCGGATTTTTACTTAATTAATTATTGAATTTCCGAATTAATTATGATTTTTGATTATCATTATTATTATTATTATTATTATTATTATTATTATTATTATTATTATTATTATTATTATTATTATATATATATATATATATATAGTTATGGCTGCCAAATATTTGATGTATTTAACCAGATTTTTAGTTGTTATTTTACCTAATTTATTAAATGATAAACTCTTGTATTTTCCTAATTAATTTACTAAATTTAAAACCAATGTAAATCCTATTTATTTTCACACTTAAATGCATTCCTTTTCACACTTTAAATTCTATCTTTTCACACCTTAAATTATTAAATGATAAACTATTGTATTTTCCTAATTATCTTTGTAGAAATATATATATATATATATATATATATATATATATATATATATATATATATATATACGGGGAGGTTCCGCTAAAAACAGGGCTTATGGTGAAAACTAAAAACAGAAAATCTCAACCATCCATTATTACTAACAAGATCTAACGGTTTAAAAAAAATAAAATAACATAGAGTCACTATATATAAAAATAACGTAACTATATACAAAAATAGGGTAACTATATCAATTTTTACAACATTTGTCACTATATACAAAAATAGGGTAAATATATCAATTTTGATCCTATTAATAGAAGTCACTATATACAAAAAAAGGGTAACTATATCAATTTTGACCATATTTACATAGAAGTCACTATATACAAAAATAGGGTAACTATAACAATTTTTACAACATTTACATTAAGGTCACTATATACAAAAATAAAGTAACTATATCTGAGTTTTTGACACCATTTACATAAAGGTCACTATATACAAAAATAAAGGTCACTATATATAAAAATAAGGTGATTGAACCAAAATTTACAACATTTCCATAAATCTAAGGTCATTATATCGAAAATAAGGTAACTATATATAAATTTCGGGTAATTATATATATCAATTTGACACCATTTACCCAGAGGTCAATAAATATAAAAATAAGTATTAAAAAAGTCTATGTAGGATTCGAACCTACATCCCGTGATTACACGGTGCTCGACCAATTGAGCTAATAGGCTTTCAACATGCCAAAAACGTAGAGGCTTAAAACCAACACATATTTTAGATTCATAAACATATTCACTAAAGTCAAGTACCTTTACCAGATTCATAAACATACTTTGCCTGTAAAAAAAAATCAAGGAAACTGAAATAAAACATATACATTAAAAAAAAAATAAAAAAAAAAATTAAAAAAAAAAAAAAAACAGTTATTACACTAGATAGCATAAGCATTAAGCTGAACTTCCAGTATAACAATGCAGACATAACATCCAAATAAACAAGATCAAAGCAATTACCTTTGCTAGCAATTTAGCAACCATTTTGAGAATCAAGGGCAAAGCTGGTTGGTAACTTTGTATGTATAGGGTGTAGAACCTAACCTACTAACAGCAATCTGATTGATGATAGAGGCCAGAGAGTCTCAAGGAAGCTATTTGAATTAGAAGGGGCTAATGTTAATCTATGGAGTTACTTACTATTTTTTTAAGAAGGTTTATAATAAAAATGTCAGGCTTTATTTGCACTAATAACGAATCACTCATCATGAGAACATAATGAATGAATTACACTTGCAGACTTAAACTATAGCTTTAATAAACAATGGATTACAAGATTTGCGGTACTAGTAAACCTGTAGACTTCAAAAAAATGACCGGTTTATTATCAATTACTTACTTTTGCTAAAATCAACATAAGCCATAGACTGTAATTTGCTAAAATCAACTATTTCATGTTTGCACCATTAGTCACTCCAACCAACTATGCAAGTCCAAGTAACATTCACCATAAACTATATGGAAGAAAAACAACAATTCGTCTTTGACTAAAAGATAGAAATTGAAAAGCAGTGGCTCTATTTGATATATTTTGAAATTGTAAGACCATATCATCTAATTTAGCATTAGCTGCAGAAATAATTGTAGATTCAGAAACATTAACAACCAGCTAATATTGACTAATTATATGCAGATCAGAACATACTGTTACTATTTAATACATGCAGCTAAAATCGCATTTACAGAAAGCTTTATCGGACGCCCACACAACAGCCACCAATTGCTCCACCAATTCGCCACCAAAGCTCGACTCCAACATCAGTAATTCAACCTCCAACAATCAACAATTCAGCCAATTAGAAAATACAAAATTAAACGAAAATACAATTGCATTCAAAACCGGAATAAAGTCGAGCAAAAATTACAAATAAAATACAATTGAAGCTCAAGAATGCCAAACAAACGAAGAAATTAAGTTGAATTATAACGTAATTACACTCATATGAAACTCGATTAAGAATGAAATAGCTCAAATAAAGTAAAGAGTAGAATTTCGAGCAAAAAATTACACATAAAAACCTAATTTACTAAGATCAAGCAAAATCAAATAGGAAATCGAACAAAATTGAACAAAATCAAACACGAAATCGCAAAATCAAACAAAATTGTTGAAAAAAACTTAGCACAAAAAATCTAACACAACTGAACAAATTAAGCCGTAAAAATCGAACAAAAGTGAAAACTAAAGCCGAAAAATCGAACTATAACTGAAGAAATTAAACCGAAAAATTAAAATAGTTAACTAAATTGAACATATACATTTAAACAATCGAAGAAATTGATGATGAAATTGATAAACTTACCAATTTGATGATAGAATTTCCATCCAAAACATGAAAGAGAGAGAAAGAATTGCTTGAAGTTTTAGAGAGAGAAGATGCATGAAGGAGGAAGAAGTGAGTGTATGTCTAACACACGAAATTAATCTCCTCCGTTAGATTAGAATCAATGGTCTAGATCACTTGTTTTTAGTTTTTAGCCTTAGACTTGTTTTCACATGATCCATTCCCTATATATATATATATATATATATATATATATATATATATATATATATATATATATATATATATATATATATCAATGATAATCTTATTTCTTTTCACACTCTAAATTCTATCTTTTGCTATTCATAAAACCCTAATTCCATACTCCCTAAACACTATAAATACCCCTCCTCACCTCTCATTTTTCTTCACACAAAAACTCAATTCTCTTCTTCTCTCATAATTTACTTTCTCTAAACATTTCCTTACTTTTCTTAACCTTTTTCGTAGAAAAATCAGCCTATTTTCTGGCACTTTTGCTCATTTTTAGCTTTTTACTATTTCACAGAAAGTTTCCTCTCAAAAAATCCTTGAGGTTAGGCACAAAAATCACCCAATTAGGAGTTATATTCTAGGAGTTATGGCCTTCACAAGTTCTGCCTATTCTTTCCAACACGAATTCAATCTCTTAATCCTATTCCTTTAATTCTTCTATGGTTAGTTTTCTAAAATATATATTTCTTTTCAAAGTTATAACTTTATAAAGTTTGGATCTTTAAAACATATTATAATGTTTGTTTAGGAGATCGTTTGTGATTGTAATTGGTGGGATAATAATTATTAAAGGATGAGGTACGTATAGATGGCTAGACCTTTGATAAAGGTTTTTCTATATATGTATATGTTTGAATCATTGTTTGTTTGAATGTTTGAATAAATTGTTTAATGTATTGATCTTGAAATCATGTTTGAATTAAATTGAATTTATTTAAGATTAAGGGAATTGAATTAAATTTGCAGCTCATTATAGGCCTGAATATTTAATGTTTATTATCCCTCTACCCGCGACTGGTTAAGTAAGACCATGAACTTTGTATGATCTGATCTTTCCTCGAGTATAGTCTTACTTGCTTGGGGGTTGCACACTTAGGAGAGGAATTGATTTTTGGAAAGTTCTATCTTTAAATATTTCTTTGTTGGAAGTCTATATTTGGAAAGTTTAATTTTGGAAAGTGATGAATTTTGGAAAAGTCATATTTTAGCGTTTGAATTATAGTGTAACTATTTCGGAAGCGTGTTTGCCTAATAAAAGAATTTGACATGTCTTGCATACTTAACGTTTTTGCTAACACGTATTCCTATTTGTTTTGATTCGCCCTATTTACCAATTTTGGTAAGCAATCGTGATTTCAGGTGGAGTCTATGTGGTGCATCGTGCATCGGGAGTTCGGGATTGATCACCTAATTTAAGTTTTTTTTTTTTAAGTTTCATAATGAGTTTGTACTCACCAACTTTGGCCAAGTGTTTAATAATATAAAGTTAGTTTTGATTTCCTCAACTTAGTTAGTTGGTTTGAGTTAGCCTTATGTTTTCACGTGACGATAATATGCCCAAATCTATCTCTACGGTATTTTATATGTATTATTCTAATATTTTTGTAGAGGAAAACTTGGGGGTGTTACATTACCTTTCTTGAATAATTTAATCGAATAGACTAGTTGGGAAAATAATTTTGGCACATCAAAATTTGAACACAGTGTTACGATATTTTCTCACAAATAGATGTGCCAAAATCAATTTTTTCTGGTTAGTTGACATCTACTTTGAATTGTACAAGTGGATAAAGTGTAATAATTATCTGATATTAAGGGTAATTAAAGTCTAATGAGTTAATTTTAAGATAATGTATCCATTAAGTTTGGATGGGTGTGGATAGTGATAGAGCGTAAGGAAAAGATAGGGACAAGGACATTGTACAGTAGTAGACACTATAACAGCATTTGCAAACGACTTGGGCTAACCACGTGTTTGGATTCCCTCAACTCATGCCGTTAACTTTCATACCCACCCGTTTTCTCTTCTCTCACGTGATCCCGGAAATCAGCTATATTTTGGATTATATGTGTTGCATTAATTAAATAAAACCAAACAGCTGATTTTAGACTAGGCCTATTTTGGCCCAATAATCGGCCGATCATGATGCTTCTCAATTTCTCATTAAAGACTAAAATGTATCCATAAGACGGAGGTTTATCGGAGAGATAAATGAGGAAGTTGCAAATCGGATGATAAACTAACGCTAGCTCTGAACCTCCGTCAGCCTGGGTTGTTCAAAGATGCTTCAACAATTGCCCCCCTCCTGTTCTCTGTACTTTCGAGCTTTGTTTGTTCATACTTTCTTCTAATTATTTTTTTTTTTTTTTTTTTTTAATTACTATTATTATTTTACCTATGTTTGGATTCCCTTTAGTTCACTTATGTGAATGTAGGACTAATTGTACGAACAGACGAAATACCCATCTAATTGTACAAACAGACGAAAAGACTCTTGGATAAACATTTTATGTTTATGTAGGGGATAAACTTGACCCTCGAATATAGATGGGGTAGAATTGTAAGGACGGGGCTTTGGTTTTCCGTAGGTAAAAGACCTAAAAGTGGAATAAAAAAATCTCTGCAATTAATATATAGATTGCCTTTGTTTTATTTCAATTTATATTTACCTCACATCATAATTGATTACGAGTAGACTTGTCAGTTCGAGTCAACGGGTCGGATTCGGGTTAGATTTCGGATCAACTAAAAAAATTGTCTTAAATAGTGTAAAAATGATTAATATCACTATAAAATATGTTAAATGAGTCAAATCGGATCGAGTTGAGGGTCGGTTTGTGTTCGGATCGGGTCGGATTATTAGGTCGGCCGAGGACTGGCAACTCTAATTATGAGGGATTATTATTTATTTTTACCTAATTTTTTATCTCATCCAAATATTAAAAAATTACCATAATTTTGTTAGTAGAGATGGGCATAGGTCGGACCATTTAGTCATATGTCATGCCTAAAGCTCAATCGAATTGTGTCTAGAACGGCATAAGTCTTAACATATTGGGGCAATCGGAAATAATATAAGTCTTGGTAAATTCTATCTATAACTTTTTTTTTTTTTTATTTACTCCGTAATGAATTTATTCAATGCTTCTTTAAATTACCATTTTTAAGTCCTTGATGAATTTTCCTTTTGTTGGCAAATTACTAATATAATGTATTGAGTTACAATATTTAAGAATGGTCACTTTTTTTTTTCTTTTTTTTTTTTGAGAAATTAAGAATGGTCACTTAATGATACATTAAGGTCGACATATTATGATGTTTACATGATCTGTCATAGAAAAAAAAATGCTAACACGATAACAAAAAAAAGCTACTCACCTAAAATATAAACACAATGCTTCAGTTTAACAATATTTCTAACAAGTGACCTATGGGTAATGGGTATTTGTTAAAATTTAAATATATTCTAATTTTTGTGGCTTTGCCGTCAAATTTTAAATAACTTCTATAACGACCATCAAAATTAGAGAATGGTAAACCAAATGAACATATAAATTTTGTAACCTATAAAGTTACTAAATACTTTGTATAAAATACAAGTATGAGATAGAGTAATAAGTTCCCCCATATAGTTGTTATGGTTTATTAATAAGAGGTTGATTATAGTTGTTTTTTTTTTTTTTTTTTTTTTTTGGGTTGGTAAGAAGAAAGGTCTTACTGGACTTGAACCTCTTACAGGTCCTTTCGGCCCGGCCTGAGTTAGCGAGCTAGGCATTTTGAGAGTGGAAGGGGGAGAAAGGTAAGGAAATCCCTATCTTAAAGTTTCTCTAATGGGGTTTGATCCCATAATCTCAAAATTGAAAGATACAAACCTTACCATTAGACCAAGTTTTGCTTGGTACGAGGTATATTATAGTTATTAGAAAGTATTATGCACTAGAAGATTGAAGCTCACAAGCCGAACTACTCCATAAAAAAATATCGAAAGCGCACCCATAAGGCCATAAGCATGTAACAACTTTATAAAAACGCATGATAAAATATACTGTAATTAGCACATACTATATTATCTGATTAGATTCGAGGAGATTAGGGATGTGATAAAGTCTTGATGACTTTTGGATAACATAATTTATTAATTATGTTATCTCAATGAAAAATATGGATAAGGTGGATAAGCTTATTTAAATAATACAAGTAGTACTAAAAATTGATATAAAATGAAATTGGTGGTTGTAAAATAGGGACCGTGGAAAGCGTAGTAAAGCCAAAGTATGTGAAATGAAAATGAGAATATGCGTCCGTCCTATCACGTGGATTCTTATTGTAAACCCGACCAAGATTTACAATTTTGACACTCTCTTTCTTCTTTACCTTTCGACCGCTCACGTGCTTCTTCTTCTTCTTCTTTTTTTTCACGTTCCCATTTCGATGCTTTGTGGCTCTATTAAGTTTCCTCTTCATTTCTGACCGTATATAAAGATAAAGATTTCGTATTTTATACTCTGTAATTCGTATGAGTCTTTACTACGGAGTAGATCATATACTTTGATTGGTAAAATCGGACTATTTTGATATTTAACATGAAAGATATAAACAAAGTATATATTTTTTAGCATTTGATGATTTGTAATCAAAAGCTACAAAGTACAAATTTAATTTCTTTATTTATATACAAAATTTGTTTTTAAATATTATCTAAGTAACTATATACTACTTCGTAAATATTATCTACCTCGATTCAAATGAATACGAAATATGCTTTCACACTAAATGCCATTGTAATGTTGTTTAACTCTTTGTATAATTTTATCCAATTAATTAATTTGCTTTGACACAAACTTCCAAGTGATAAGTCAATGGTTCATTTTAGAGAAAATAAGAGGATACATCTTTATAAATCAATTTTTGAAATAGTAGTGTCTTAATCATTCAAAAACACATGATTTTGCACGTGTATTTTTAATATGCCCATGCTAATGTTACAAATTTTTTTGTTTTGTTCACATACCTTAATGGATTGATGGGCACCTTTTAGGTCCAATTTTTTTCACCACTTCACCCTACTTCTTATGTCAAAAATATATGTTTAGATAAATTCAAATAAAAATTAATAAGCTTAGACTAGTTCAAATAAATAAATAAATGTAAGTTATGATTAGAGTTAATACATATTAACAGCTTAGTTGACAACTAATTTAAATTCAACTAAGTGTTTTTATTTATGAAATTAATTAGGTGAATCAAAAATACTACCGAGCTACGTATAATAAATGTCACCAATTATTTAATTAGTTTTTTTCTCCAATTTTATGATGAGCTATTCTTATACATGTTTATAATCTTTACTAATGGGGTTATCCATTAAAATTTGCTCTGATATCCACTATCAAACAAGTACTACCTCCGTTAATTTTTAGTTACAACGAACAAAGGGGTATAATTAGTGAGACATAAAAAACATAAGACTAAATTGTAATATTGACGTGCACAATAGAGATTTAAGACTAAAGAAAATTTGACCTTATTTTTGTATAATTAAATATTAATGATTTTCTTAAAAAAAAATTATATTATTAAACTTAATTACTACCTATCTAATAAGCTATTTTATGATAAAAATATGTTTTTATTATGTTAGTAAAAAACTATAGTTAAAATTTTTCGTTAAAAAAAAATAATAATCAAAGTTAATACGAAGTATATAAATAGTGAAAAAAGTTCAACATGTCCATTATTTCGTAACGGAAGGAGTATTTAACATGTAGATATACATAACTACTATGAAAATGATGGAGTAACACTTTATAACTCTTCATAATTTTCACAAAATTGATCTATCGTGTAACTATATACAAGTATTGACTAATCCAAGACAACTTCAAAGGAATAAACAAAACACTTGTTAATTTTGAAAATATCAACCAGATATTTCTTCAGGAGAAAAAAAAAATATATAATCTCTATTTGAGTGAACCACAAGGCAGATTAAATACATCATAATATCATATACAAGTATAAATACTCAAATACACACCAAATTTCTTTTTTATTTAAAAAATAAAACTAATTTGTAATATTGACGTGCACAATAGAGATTTAAAATAGATGAAACGTTGATACATATTTAAAATCAACGGCTGAAACACACCCACCTAAAAGTGGGACCTAATTATCCGAACCACACCCAATAAAACCTTCCTTTTTATATTACTTATATGGTTATACCTCTTCTTCCTCCGAATTCATTTCATTTCCCCAAATTTTCCTCTAACCTAAGCAAACCAAAACCCAACCCGACCCGAACCCAAAACCCGATAACAAAACCCACTTAAACCCGGGTTGGACTCCAGCCGCCATGACTCGACGGTGCTCCCATTGCAGCCACAATGGGCACAACTCTCGAACCTGTCCGAACCGAGGGGTCAAGCTTTTTGGAGTCCGATTAACCGATGGTTCAATCAGAAAAAGTGCTAGTATGGGTAATCTCTCTCTTCATCAAAACGGTGTCGTTGGGAATACTTCTCCTGCCGCCGGTGATCTTACTCCTGATCACGTGCCTCCTTCTGCCGACGGTTATGCTTCTGAGGATTTTGTTCCTGGTAGTTCTTCTAGTCGTGAACGTAAAAAAGGTTTGTTTTTTATTTGATTTGGTGGGAATTTGGATTGATTTAGGTTTAAAGTAGTAAAGGGGTTCTATTATGTTTTGCTGATTTTGGAAAAATGTTGTCTTTTTTTATTTTTATTGTGGGATTGATTCAGTTGGTGTTAGTTAGGTGGTGGAATAAAGTTTTGTTTTTTTTTGGGTTTTTCCCCAAATAATTGATTTTGGTCCCTGGAAAATGGGGGGTTTATTTGTTAATTTGAGATTGAATTATTGGGAAATGGGAATTTTTAACACCTGAAAGTGGTTGATTGAGATGGATTGAGGGTTATTTTCGGGAAGTTTTGATCAGGTGTGTTTTGTGGATTGACATTGATTGAATAAATTGGATTTATGTGCGGGATTATGAAATTGGAAATTCTTTTGGAGTTTTGGTTGATTGATTTCGGTTCAATTGAATTTGTTTCGATTTATTTCGTGTTGATTGATACTAGGCCTGGTTATTGGATGAAGAAATGTATCGATTAGCTTGAGCAGAAAGCGAGTTGGAGCTGTTTGTCGTGTTCGAATTATCTTGATTGGATTGGATATAGAAGTGTGTATGGTGAATTATTATGGAGAGTAGTTGGAATTCTTGTTGAAGCATGAGCAATATAAGATATAATTGAAATTGGGGAAGATTTTGTTGTAGTGAGAAGATGATTTGGTGAAGAAAGTAGAAAACTCGCTGTAAAATCCGGTGGCATTCTGCTAGTGTTTGTCACATGCCATTTCCGGCTTTTAGTAGTGACTTTTTCCAATCAAAACTTATATTTGCGATCAATTCTGAATTTGTCTAATAAAAGATGGATTTTACTGAAACTGAATTTTATAAGTTGAACATTTATTTCACTGTTTGTGCTCCAATCACAAGTTTTGATAAGTTACTCTTTTCCCTTCTTTGTCAGTTGTCACTGCTTAAATTGTCAATCTTTCTTGATCAGGTGTTCTAAGCTCTTGACATTTTTGTTCAGCAGTCATGTTATTTCATGGCATGACTGCTATAACTTCCGTGCTCTGTACCTACACCTTGATTGGTCTGGGAAATTTCTTTCATTTTCCTTACATGTATTATGAATGTGATTGTGCAGGATAGGCAACAAGCTGACACCCAAGTCTGTTTCATTAGTTTCATTGTATGTTTATTTACAATAACAGTTCTCTTTTTTTCAATAGGTGTTCCATGGACAGAGGAGGAACATCGAATGTTTTTGTTGGGCCTGCAAAAACTTGGGAAGGGTGATTGGCGGGGGATATCACGTAGTTATGTGATATCAAGGACGCCAACCCAAGTCGCTAGCCATGCACAGAAATATTTCATTAGGCAATGCAATGTGTCTAGAAGAAAAAGACGCTCTAGCTTGTTTGATATTGTAGCGGATGAGGTGATAATCCTTTTCTTCATATTCTTAATAGCTCACTTGGAATTTTGGTGAGTTTGCATAGTAGCTACTCAGAGAGTCAGAGTAACCAGTTTCTGATGGGTGGTAGATGTAACTTCTTTCTCATGTATTGCTGAAAAAGATCCCCCATTCCCACCAAAAAAAAAAAAAAAAAATTAAATAAAGATTCAGGATGTCTTGATCATTGCCTTTTGAGTTTAGATGCAACTTTTTCTAACTTGTGAAACTTTTTACTATTTGACTATTTATTACATGCTTTCTGTGTCTTCAATCTCCTTCATCCATACACAATGAATTTGAGCAGAAGTTCTCGATTGTTGCACAGAATTTTAGTTGCTCTTTAGGTTGATTATTATTTCCAGTTTCCAACACTGTGCTCTAGAACTATTGATATGCATGTTATTTCATTGCTCACTACACCCTCAGACCTGTTCCTCTCTAGCCCATTTTTTCTTCTCATTGGTACTGTTAGTTTTTATCAATCTTTGATAACCCCCCTGCCGCGTTGCTTATGTTATTGTTTTTATCGTTGCTTTTATAGGAGGGCGATACACCAATGGCGGCACATGATTTCCTCCCTGAGCATCCATCTGATGCTCAAACACAGAATAATAACCACCCATTGCCTCCTGCTCCTATTCTTGATGAAGTATGTGAGTCAATGGCATCTAGCAACTCAACCTCCAATGAGGTGGAACCTGATTTACCTAAGCAGGAAGGCGTGGAACCCTCTCAAAGCAGCTCTGTCTCAACCAACCCTCCCCCAAACTACTACCCTGTTGTATACCCTACTTATGTGTCTCCTTTCTATCCGTATCCTGTCCCATATTGGACCGGCGGTAATCCCGAACCAACCAAGGAGACACATGAGGTGGTTAAGCCTACAGCAGTACATTCAAAGAGCCCAATCAATGTTGATGAACTTGTTGGCATGTCAAAATTGAGCTTGGGGGAGACCATTGGCAGTGGAGAGCCATCGAGTTTGTCACTGAAATTGCTTGATGGTTCCTCTAGACAATCTGCGTTCCATGCTAATCCTACCCCTGGTAGCCCAGATATGAATTCTTCTGGTGGCAGCCCAATCCATGCAGTCTGATTGTATAAGTGCAGGTTAGTGTTGTTAGGTTTTAGCTCAAAGCTCGAACTCGAGCGCAGCAGTTCTAATGTCAATATAAGAATGATATATGTGCAGTTTGTTTTTTTTAGCATAATGTTTTTGTTCGTGAGATTATGTATAGGTAGGTGGTATGTTCTGTTAAAACTCTTATTCTTTTTTAGGGTTTGGAATTGTGTGTTACCGTATACAAATGTTCACCAAGTGGCCGATTCGTATCCTGAAGCTGGAATCATGCCTAAAAATTTTATACATTTTTTTTTTTTATTAAGCCAGTACTAAATTAATAGACCGTCATATTTAATCTCTGTAGTTCATAGCTAGTTAAATTTCTCAATTTCTGTTATGATTATTTTCTCGACCAATAAAAAACTCGTTTTTGTTGGGAAATAATAGTCACGCTGTCTAGATTTGTACTCTAATTAACTATTGTTGCAGGGAATGAAAGAAGGAAGTAACACTGGATATTGCAACTTCAATGAAATTTCATTGACTTGTCTAGTTGTCTCAGTCTCTTTTTCTCTACTCCCCTATTCACAGAACATCTGATAGGAAAATCTAACAGTACTACTTCTGTTTCACATTGTGTGCAACAATCGAGTATTTTGTGAGATAAAAATTATTCAATTGTTGCACATAATGTGAAACGGAGGTTCAAAACATTGTGACCTTATAATTCAAGGGTGTAAGAATTCATGAGGAAATTGATGAGCTATCTGATTTTTGTGTCCTCCCACGTTTTACAAATAAACATGAATAAAGGGAGCCAAGTATCTGGACATGTAATTTGGATCCATTCAAAGTAATAAAAAACTAGATGACCAAATTCTCTGGACTAGACCCTGTTTGGAAATTAAACAACTCATTTGCCACCTATAATTCAGTTGTACGAGCAATTGGTATTGTAGCCTATGAAAGTTGTACGTACATTCGATGATATAAAAATCCGGTTGAATATATCAGGATATGAATTTGTTTTATACTTGTATTGGAGATGTAGTGAAATGTTATCATTGGGTGGGCAGGGCCTAAGCTTAAAACTTGCAGCACCTGGTTGCTCAGAGCTGAACAATTGTTCCCTGTTATGTAAGGGAAGTATATTCCTTGCATTTTCTGGATAAGAGCACTTCCTTTGGAGGCCACTACATTAATCCATGCGCAACGCAGCGCTCTTCTCATCCCAATCATGAATTCACGGCGTGTATTGTGTAGCGGATTATGCTTGGGCTGTCTGGGTTGGGTAGGCGATCAATCTGTCATTGCTCCAAAAAATATCACAAGGTCACGACAAAAGCTCATACAATAACTCGAATCAGTTAGTAGCGATGATGCATTGCTACCTCAGGATAGAGGGTAAGCATTAGAATAGAGAATTAGGGAGTAATAAGAGTATAGAGAATTAGAGACTAGGACGTGTTTAGTTCACCTTATTTTAGCTTATTTGAAATTATCTGATCTGATTTGGTCTGGTCTGGTTTGGTCTGATCTGATCTGATATGATCTTTTTGTCTGATTTGACCAAATTTTGATCTTAAGTATACGATAATATGTAAGGAAAAAAGTATATCAATTGGGATCTTGATAGATTCGTAATAATGTGTATTTTATTAATATGTAATTTTCATAATTTTTTTTATTACGAACTTAAAAATATTTTATGATAAAAAATTGCACATAAAACGATGATCTGATCTAAACTTATTTTTTCTGATCTGAACTTATTTTTTCTGAAATAAGTAAAACTAAGTTGAATTAAACAAGGCCTAAGATGGTAAAAGGATCAGTTTCGAAGGAGAAGCTGCATCATATCTCCTTGATACTTAAGCTGAAGCAAATTAACTTGGATGGTAATTATGAAGGTGAAAATAGAGTTATATACAAGGAGCTTATCAGCTAATTGTGGTTGTAAGATGTAATTGGATCCCATAAACATGTAAATATATGATTATTGATTTGTATGGTCATAAAATCAATGTTAGGATTTTCTTTCTTTTTTTTCTTTTTTTCTTTTTAATGATGGAAGTACATACTAATGTAATTCTAACTGTCAGAGGATAACAACAAATGAGAGATGTTAATTATATTTTGGAAATTTTATGTCTGTCTTCATTACTCCGTTTGATCACACAATTCAGAAAACCAGGTAAAAGTAAGTTCATTCCCCCATTGTAAATAAAAGGGACTTATAGCTTTGGTCAAAAGGAATCACTACCAGTAGTGTAACAATAAATAAGAAATAAGCGGGCATGTTTATTTCTCAAGAAAATACACGCCGGACTCACGTGACAAAATTAGAATTTTCTTATGTAAGTTGATTTAATATTTAGCCAAAAACTTAATAATAATAAGTAAAAGATTTAAAAACGGAATATTCACAAATTCTTGAATACGGCGGACTTTCATTTACTTATTGTAAGACGCTTTAAATTTTTTTTTTTTTTTTTTGTTAAATACAAAAGTTATCCTATAATCATTTAAAATTACCCTTATATACCATAAAAGTTATCATTTTATAACATAAATTTTACCCTTAAAAACACTCATAATGTATTATACTATTATTTTAAAACAGGAAGTTGGAAGGACATCCTCTTACTATTTTTCCTGTTTTAAAATAATTTTTTTTAATTACAAAAAAAAAAAAAAAAAATAAATAAACAAACAATCATACATCTTTTCCATCCCAATCCTTTAATCATGCCTATTTAACAAAATAATTTTTTTCATCATAAAAAAATTACAACAGAAATTCAAGCAAACATCTCTTTTACATCTCTTCCATCCTAATCCACTAATCATGCCTATTTAAGAAAATAATTTTTTTCATAAAAAAAATAAATTAATTATTAAAACAGGAACTCAATAAAACATCTTTTCCATTCACAATTTTAAAATTTATTAATCATGCCTTTTCAAAATACATGTGTAGGATTATTATTAAATTTTAATCAATATCAATACTAATATTTAATAACATGAACTTTGTGCCACGTGGCCATATTTACATTCCATTTTTTTTTTCATTTTTCACCATTGATTTTTTTTTTTTTTTTTTTTTTTATTTTTTTTTTTACAATTTACCTTTAAAAAAATAGTTCTCTCTATCATAGTATCATGTTGTTTCATGAGGGCAGTTTCTCCTATCTTCTTTTAATCTTCTTCCTCTCATCTAAACATATTTTTTTATTTTACAACTCATATCCCCCTCTCTCCTCAAATCCCTCCTCTTTACAATCAGTGATTTTTTCCCAATGTAAATTTTAAATTGTATTTTTTGCTCATGGAAATTAAAGTTGAAATTTAGTCAAATTTGTCTTCAATTAAGTTTATTCCCATCAATTTAAAGTAAGTTCATTATGTTTCTCTTTCAATGTTGTATTCAAATCCTAATGGTTAGTTCATTTAATTTCAGGGAATTCCAATAGTTGCAAGTTGGTTATGATGGACTGACAGTCGCTTAGTATTTGCCATTCAAACTACTTTTTAGGTTTCCTTCTTTTCAATTTTTCTTCTTAAATTGGTATATTCTTGAAGTTTGTTGACAATGCTTTAGTTTTGGATTTGAAGGATTATTGATCGTTTATTCCTCTACTACTAAAAATTGAAGAGAAATTCAGTGTTAATTTTCATTAAGATTTGCTATATATTTTTTTTTATATAAATCTTTTTAGCCCAAATTTAATCCGTGTGAGATTTATGGAAGACAATATCAAGAGTATACCTTGATTTAATCTTCAAAATATAATATTCATTGTATATAATCTTGTATGTACATTATATTCTTGCTAGAATAATACTTTGTTACATTTTATTATCAAGTGTCTCTTTCATAAATAATTTTTTTTTTCCAATCTTTTCATAACATTTCCCTCTCTTGAATTTATTTTACGGAGTTGGTGACCTTTACATTCATAATATGTATTCATATACTATGTCATTTGTATAAGTATTTTAAGGCATTCTTCAATCTATACCAATTCAATGTTTTAAACTTTTAATTAATTGCTCCTATACATACACAGGTATCGAAACTCAAATTTATTTAGTTAACAAGTTTTTATGATTGTAAAAAATTGTGGTAATGCACAATATAGATAAAGATGGCTTTGGATAGGGTATTATAATGAAATGGTACTATAATCATTGTGTTTTATTGCTTATCTTTAAGTTGTTGATTTTTTTTTTTTTTTTTTTAGTCTTGAATTTTTAATAGTTATTAAATCAAAGGTTTCTTGAACAACCCTTCAATAATAAACATTTTCAACAAAAAAAATATAACCCATGCATTACCAGGTTTAAATTAAGCACTTTTTAAAAAACCTTTGTCAAAAGAAAATAGTCTTCTCGAATTTTAATAGTTTCGGTTTTTTTTTTTCAAAAATATAAATATAGAAAAGCTAAACCAAAAACAATGTTTTACCTCGAAGGAAGTTAATTGTTCATAAACTCACAGTAAATTCCTTTCTATTTTCATTTCACTATGCATTCATACTTAAAGTTTTGCTTATGTACGATCAAAATTTATTTTCCACATTTAACAGAATTGCTATGTTTGATTTGCAGAAAGGGCATTGTGGACCAATAGTGATTGAAGTTCAAATTGGGCTACAAATCCTCTTTAGGTAATAAGCATGTTTCTTCTATTTTACGTATATTGCAAAACAATAAATTAGAAAAAATATTTGTAGCCTTATATGTATTTGTACTATGGAGTACAAGATTTCTGTTTAAATTGTGACTATTATAGATGACATATTGTTTAAATTTGACAGACTTTAAGTGATTTGTATTTTAAAAACGCTAATTTAACACTATTGTTATAATATATCCTATTAATATAAGATTCGATAGTAATGTTTATATATTAAAAAATATATATATATATCATTATACAATGTTGAAATTCCATATTATTTTATTAATGTGTATTTTCTTAAAATAAAAAATTACAATACAATAAACAGCTGTGCATCGCACGGGTTTAATACTAGTTAACCTGTAACATGTATTCATTAGAAAATACACAATAAAATATAATCAAACTCATTACAAAATTACCCTTAAACGGGTTAGAGTTAACTACTAAGAAAATTGTTAAGATTACCCTTAAATTTTATGTCATTCAATAAAAATTGGAGAAAGTTCGCTATATGCGAGACTTATCACTTATTTTTAAACATTTCATTATCAGGATTAGGAAGGGAGTTTTAAAAAATAAATACAAATCCAAACATATGGTTCGCATGTTACATGAGAGTTTTAATAGAAGAAAATCAAGTAGAAACTTTATTTAGTGCAAATCAAAATCTGTC